TTAAATTTTTACAGTTAGCATGAAATGATTCTGACACACACACACACACTGTATACTGTATAACCGAAAGCTACAGCGTGAGTCAGTCTCCTTTTTTTATCCTTTCATCATTTATAGATACGTTTCGTAACTTCCCGCCCCTCCTTTCCACTCTAATGGGTGTGTTGGACGAAGGAAGGATTTTTTTCCGACTTCTGACCTAAACTAACCTAACCTGAGGCCATTTCTTAATTAGTCTTGTCTTTGTGTTTAAATGCATCTAAATTCAAGATCTTTTCCTCACTGAGATATGAAGTAAATGGTCATCTTGTAATTAGCTCTTTCAGATTATTTATCCTGATGAATAAACACCCTAATGCTAACCTAACCTATTGTGACCTATGGTAACTTACCCTATTCTAACCTAAACTAACCTAATCTAATCTAACTTAATTTTACATATGGAGAAGGAAAAGGAAGTCAAGTAGGCCTACACACACTGTCCCTGTGTTTCGAAGGCTCAATGTACAGTATGTTATATCCGCAACACCTCTAACGAACCATCAGGCCTATGGGACCCACACTCACTCAGGATAGATACAGTTACTACATATCTGGTTAGGTTAATTTACCTGGTTCATCCCTAACTGTGAGTCTATACACAACGATCAAGCTTCTAATAATAACTGGTTTTAATATTTATCAAAACGGCGTTGGTAGGTTTATTCCGGGCAGGTCGAGGCACACGCGGGAGTCTGTTTCACCCCCAGTACCCGCCAACAGTGATCCAGGATGAACGTGGACTCCTAATACGAAAATGAAACAGGAAGATGAGGATAAAATGAGAAATTTCCCACCATTGTGTTGGCGGGAACACTGCATAGCATCCAGACCCTGAACAGGATGGGCTGGGGATGTGTCAATACCCAAGACGGACTAGGGATGTTTTAATGACAGGATGGGTTGGGGATGTGTCAGTGAGGATGGGTTGGGGATGTGTCAGTGAGGATGGGCTGGGGGGTGTGTCAGTGAGGATGGGTTGGGGATGTGTCAGTGAGGATGGGCTGGGGGATGTGTCAGTGAGGATGGGCTGGGGGTGTGTCAGTGAGAATGGGCTGGGGGGGGAGGGTGTATCAGTGAGGATGAGGTGAGTCAGGATATTACACTCCGGTGACAATGACACTTCCCAGTTCACTTCACCTGAGGATTATACACCCTAACGCTACCGAGGGAGGGAGGGAAGGGTTAGGTTAGGTTAAAGGTGATGGTTGGTTCATGTGTGTTGTCAATAAGAGTTATACATATTCGACTTCAAAGTACATATAAACAGAAACCCGGACCCAGGACGGCAGCAACACCTTTTTTTAATGCATGATGATAATTTTTTAAACAGTATTATAAGAACAAGGATTTAACATACCGGAAAATAAACTAGAGTTTGGCCAGCAATAGAGAAACAAATAGAATAAATCATAAATTAAATGCAAATAATAATCCGTGTATTGGTTCTCGTTAAATTTTAGACACGACACTCTTCTCTGTGAGGACGCAGACACAGCATCAAGTGATTGTTGACCCTGTGCCAGAGCAGTTTTCCAAGACAGCTGGTGGTGAGTGACTGCACTGACCGATTACTATAGTTAAACAAGTGAAAGATGCGATCGTATCTTAACACAAGTATAACAAAAGTGAGCAAAACTGGAATTTGTAATGGGAAACAATACACGTTGACGTTGTGGCATCTGTATCAAGGAAACACAAATGATTAGCTTATAAAAGTCATCACAGTGTGAGTGCTGCAATGCTTGAACTGCTAAGGTTCGATGATTTAGTGTTATTTAATTACCTACAGTACTATGAATGGTTAAAGAAGTTTGTTTTAGGACGATGCTCCCTCAACCACGACTATTTGTTACTTTTTTGTGTCCACCTCCCGTCTTAACCTTCTCCCCGCCTTATATTTATTACCCTACCATAAGGTTATCTTCATATCCACCCTCCAACACAACTTTACCACTCCCCTATCTCTTGTGACATTACTCCATGCGTTTCCTCCCGCTTCTTGGTAGTGATGAACCACGGGTCAGGTATGCGCTTCCACCAACGTCACCTAACTCTCTGGTCCACTGTTGTCCCATACACAGTCAACAAGTACCCAAGGTGTTAGACTGGCTGATTTACTAATCAGTAAGACATGATTAACAGTCACAACAAACATGATGCACTGTAACTGTATAAATATTACTTATGATAAACACAATGCCTTGTTTACATCATCTATTATTATTGTCCTGGCTGACGACTTGTTTCTCGCTACAGCGGGTGATTCATGTCCATAATCATAACAATATTTATTCTTCTTTATAAAACAAAAAATCAAATTGTGAGCCTCTGACAAGCACATATTAATCTTGAACATTTCTTAACATTAACACGTCGCTTTTAACACATTAATTCATGGTGGCAGCTCTAAAAAAAAATAATAAAATCGATGTACCAATAAGAAACGTTCAGTGAACGTTCATGAACTGATATGTGAGTACTTGTCGGTGGCTCTCTGTTTAAATACTGTATTATAAAAGTGAAGATTAAAAAGTTTCACAATTCCGTTGTTTTGAACCACCTTGTGTAGTGATTGAAACAGGCAAGCATCGTTATATAAAACTGAACAATAAAGGTCACAAAGTCACAAAACGACTATTAAGTTGGTAAGTGGAGAAAAGAAATAAAATATCTACAATGCACACCTGTTGTTAAAAGTCCATGACAACATGGGACCAGTTTACCTGGACGGAGGTAAGATTTATGCGTTTTGAAGGGAAGCCAGAGCTTGGACGGAGGTGTTGGCCAAGATCCCAGAAGGGAGTTACCAAATACTTACTGTCAATTCTAATTCAAAGACCAACCTTCATTATTCTTCTGTCAACAGTTGTCCACCTTCTCTTTCATTCAATCTATAGCAGATGTATAAACTCAGGTAAATAAAACTAGTCGAATGTAATGTATTGCGCTTGTTCATACCACTTCCAGAGACGAATATTAAAGGACAAATTTTATAGGCAGCACTGAAAGTAGGGATTTACAGTACCTGCTTCCATTATATTGGTCAGTATTTAAATATTCATAACATATGTTAATTATATCGATTACAATAAAGATGGAAACTGCGACAGTAGACAATCAAATAAATAAAGAACGGTAAGAGATTCCGCTTTGTGGGAACCAGAAAAAAATAGTTGAGGTAGTGAATCGGCAGCCCAGTGTGTGTGTGTGTTATAGCCTGTAACACACACACAGGCTTGTCGTACATCTGACAACCCGAGTTACAGCGTGTTTCCACATTCGCTAGTTGGTAAACGGTGGCCGAAGAGTAAGGACCTAACGTGCTGAGCTTTGGGACTACTATATCCGCTCTTAGTTGTTGTACCCTATCCTGTGTAAGCTGTTTTAACCTTGACAAGGATGCGTCTGTAATGGAGTCTCAGTGAACATTCAATTCGTCGTAGGAAAATACTGAAGAGCTACCTGTGAATTTTACTGTTTTATTTGGTAAGTACTAATTGACTTGATGTTGTCAGCTTGAAGAAATAATGGCAGATTTTTCCTAGAGCGGCAGGAAGAACATTGATAGTATCAATACAGACGATGACTATTGTACTTTCCTTCCACGGGCCATCTCAGCTGCTCAGGTACACTTCACAAACGATACTTTCAGCTCGGTCCCGCTCTGATAGATCCAGGTTTACGAAAGAAACCTTATTCCTAGCCTCATGGATTTAATAAAGAAACTGTTGATTAATGAAATAAGTGGTTGGAAACGTAACTCGCATTGATCGTTAGTAAGAGGTAAGCGGACAGGGAACCGGACCGACTAATTACCCAAATGTAGCCGCAATGAAGTCAAATAATGGTCCTACATGAATAAATCGGACTGCCAATCACTTCTCGATTAGTATTTGGTGTCACAAAGTCACAAAAAATTGGAAAACTTACTTTATTGTCGGGTGTTCCTGGGGTCCGGACCCCATTTTCATCAGAAAATTCCAATACTTTTTCTTTAATGTAGTATTATACTCAGGCGTTGTTGTATAATAAAAAGTAACTACTATTAACCTCAGGATATCTCTTAATATTAAGTGCACATGGCTTCAGAATGCCTCAAAATGCCCACGATATTGGTCGGATTTAAAAAAAAAATAGGGGGGCTTACAGCGCGCCCCCCCATAATTGTAGTACAGTACTGTTGTCTAGCATCAGTAGCACAGCGATTCTCTGTTACTGGAAGTGTTGGTATTATTTGGGTTCACTGAAGAATCTTCACCCAAGCTTATTTGACATATACAGTATATAGGCGTGAATTTGTTCAAGGTGTAAAATCTGTCGCCAACACAACAACCACGCTTTAAATTAACGAGTAAGTTGCATGACCCATGTGTCAAGAAAGAGTCCGAAAAGACCGGACAACTCGCCAACTGCACTGGCTAACCTTTACACCGGAACACGACCCGCAAATCGATTAACATCCAGGCCCCATATTACTGTTGGGTCGACAGGCAAAATGGGGTAAAGAAACTTGTCCATAGTTTCACACTGCATGCCCAAGAATCAAGCCCGGGACTACTCTCTTGCGAGACGAGCATCCTTGTACACCTAGATATAATCCTAACCTAACCTCGTCCCCCAAAGTGTTAGGATGGCAGGGTATAAAGGAAGTGTATAATGTTTTCATCTAATAAGTGCAGAGATGATGATTACGTGCAGTTAAGACATACTACTAAACTAAACCAATGATAAACTGTTCCAAAAATTTGTATTATTAGCCATCATTACAGTGACCAAGAAACTAATTTTGTGGTTTCGGTACGATAATTTACTTATGAAAATCTGGCAACACTGTTTCACATGAGATATATGACTATTTGGTCTGCAGTGATCATTTTTTCCCTTATTTTATACCCTGTAGGATAGTTAATCTTAGGTGAAATGAGCTGGGGTGGAGATTCTTCAGGGGATTCTTTTTGTATAAATATTTTATTGTTGTTGAAATAAGATTTTTTCAATTTACAAAAGTAAGTTGTAAATAATTTGGCTACTTAGTCGTCCCTCGTGCTGATGCCTTTATAAGGTCACCCGTATTTTCATCTTCATCTTTACATCCAAACATTAGTAATGAAAGGAACATTAACCTACCAAGGTGTGTAGTCTGTAGTTACCGAGAGCTTAAATTCTGTGTTGTAAGGCAAGGCACCCTGGCGGGAACCACGAATTACTCAAAAGTACCCAAATGTACCCCAAAGTACCCAAATGTACCCCAAAGTACCCAAATGTACCCCAAAGTACCCAAAAGTATAGCAAATAAGGGTAAAATCTTAACGAATATCTGTTATACATACACAAAACATGTTTAATAATATTTTTAGTGTAATTTTGTAAAAATAATTTGTAAGATGAAATAATAAACAGCGAAAAACTTTCAGTATTGGCGAACGCTAAATTCCAGAGTTCGTGAACAAGGGAGATAACTCAGATCCATCGTGATGCACTTCGCTAACCTAACCTAACCTAACGAAAAGTAAATCCTACGGCTATGCTAAATACCCCAAAGTAACAGAAACATCGGTAATTATATCTCCATTTTGGTTAGGTGCCTCTTTGGAATTTAGCGTTTTTTGCTGTTTATTATTTAATTATTTTGACTACATTTCAATGAAAACATTATTAATAAGGTTTTATTGATGCAAAACATATATTCGTTAAGATTTTACCCTGATTTAATATACTTTTGGGTAATTCGTTGGATCGACCCTGGCTGCTAAAACTCCCTCTTTTTCTTTCATCCTCTTCCCTCCACAAAACAATAATTTTTCCGAATACCAGATTAGCAATAAGTACCCGAAATTTAAGGATAAATTTTAACCAAAACAAAGGCGGGCAGTGTCAAAGTTACCAGAAAAAATTCACATGTCACTGTACGAAACTGAAGTTAAAACTGTTTCCCAATGGTTTTTGGTGTGTTATATGAACGAATTTGACCTTAATTTCTGGCTCAAATCAATAGTTTCTGAGTTAAGCCCCCTCCCTCCCAGCTAAAAAATCTAGAGAATTGTTATAAAAGTCAAGGTAAAAAGTGTTCAAAACACATCGAAAACCATTGGAAAACCGTTTTGAATCTAACCTAAACGGGGGAGCTCCACAGCCGTTCGATGTTCTGGGTGTGTACTGCCACGTACGAACATACATAATAAAATGTTAAACATCTCTCTTAAACGTAATTTGCGCCAGAAATGCCCCAGAAGAAAAGTGTCTTAGAATTGTCATAATTACCGAATGCAACTATAAAATTCCAGAGATTCGTTTTGTGGCAACAAGTAAAATAATACCGAAAATAATCACTGAGAAACCATCACTCGTTCACTTAAACTTTAAAAGGTGGTTTGAGGAGCTTTCGTGATATACAACCTGCCAGTGTTGTGAAGGCACCGAGTGTGAGCTGTTTCCAGACCAGATTCGACCAACACTAGAGCAGGTTCAGATACATTCAGGTGACCGACCGTCCAAGCGGCTAACGAACTGATCAGTGGCGAAGAGGATAAAAGTAAAAAGTTAATGGTTATTTTGCTCTTAAGTTAAACAAGATTTTAGTAACGAATCATACTCACTTTCGTTTCGTAGGCGAGTGTCGTGATGGAATAGTTTGAGGTGTTTTATTTTTTACGGGAATTAGCCCACCCAGGCACAGGTCACTGACCCATATCGGGGCCTGGGGGTCGAAAATGTAATAATAATAATAATAATAATAATAATAATAATAATAATAATAATAATAATAAAGAACCACAAAGAAATACAAAATGAAAAAAAATAAAAAGTGAGGAACAATATATGTACAGTATGTTGTGTTGTCGATAGTAAGAGAGACAATTGAGACCCTGCAATTGTGTGTAAATGAGACAGAAAGTCAGATCAGCAACCTGGGACTTGTCACAATTTTCGTGATGCCATGTGGCAGCAAGATCTAACATAGACAACACATTATGCTTCCACAATCTTCCCAGGCGGTAGTACCTCCCTTAGCAATGGGTAAAGCAACCACAATCTCTTCAACAAATATTTTTTTATGCATTCCTGAGTTGATTTCTGCGAGCGGAATAAGAATTTTAAATCACTAATTTGCTTAATAAACACTATGAGACTACGGCATTAAATAATTTATGAAGGATAACAAACCAAATTGATGTCAAAATTTAATATTAATATATTTATATTCTAAATAAACTGTTTCTGGATTGTTTAAAAGACAATTATAAAACAAGTGACCCTCATTTTTCACCCTTTTTAGATATATTTAGCTAAAGGCTATTGATATACGTACCGAATTGTGCAATATAACAGAACATAACCAGTTTTTAATAATAGACTTGACAATGATGACAAAGCTAAGTTAAAAACTTTGAGCATGAACAATACAGTGAATTACTGCAAAGCTCACGATCGAGTCCTTAGTTTTGGCGCAGAGTAACAAAACATACGACAGGACGCACGCACGCAATACCTGAATGACGATGGTATAATGAATAAACTCAACGGACTTTACGTGATGCGTAAAATCCCACACGGGAAATTCTGAGGAATATGGTGTAGTGATCTGGCAACGTGGCGTGTGGGAGCTGCCTCCTGGTTGACGTCACAAGGAATCTCAACGCAGCGGTGAAAGTGAATAAATGTACGGGAAGCCAGTGTTAAGTATTGAGCAAGAAAGTGTGAGTGTGGTGGAAAACACGAATTGCATATTGCAATTTTAAACGTACAACCAGGCCGGTAAACAAAAAAAATTCACACATTATTAACACATACTCAACCAATAAAGATTAAGGGTGTTAGGTGGCAACTGATAAGATTAAGAGTGTTAGGTGGTATGATCTTTGATGCCAACGTGACCTATTTGTTGGCGTCACACATTTTGCGTTGATTAAGTCTAGTGGGTAAATAAAGAATGTCCAGTGATAGAACATTCTACTGCAATAACAGCAAGCTTCGACCAGTTGCTAGTAATCAAAATTTAATTATCCCTAGGTGTGAAATTATACGCCGGGTTCAAATTATATGAAGATCGTCTCCGGGTAACTTGTACGATCAAACAATCCAAACAAGTACTGGCAGAAATACACCTATACCTAAGAACATCCACAAACTCTCCAGGCTTCAGGGTCACGTTAGTCACCCAAAACTTCCCCAGAGGCGTTATCTGTTCTGTTGGTACGCCTGCTAACACTTGGCTAAAACGAGGATTACCCACAGTACTGTATATCAGTTTCTTCCGTTTGATTTTTAATGAATCTTTTGGCAATATAGCGTCTGGTTTTTATGTATTTTTCACCGGTATTTACTAATCTGTTTGCAGTTCTTTCATTGTGTATTGACTTGTCTGATGTTGCTGTTGTGTTGGCTCTCTTGTTACCGTATGTTCCCGTAATTTATCTTTTTCATGTGTTGACACGCTCGTTTTGTTGTTGTTGTAAAAAGTATAAAAAGTGTCTAACAAGGTAAAGGTCATGATGCGTTATTGTGTTTATGGATAAGATACGAGTACAGTACATTATTTGAAGTCTGACTCCGTCCCCGGAAATGTCCTCGCCAATATAATGTAGTCCAGTGGGACCTTACTAAGCATGAATAACATATTAACTTAATATTTATAAACTGTCCTCTTATAAAACACTTATTTGTATGGTACATTATGCTCGAGTGATTAGCCTAAGCCCTAATTGTTGCGTTAAAGCTGGTGTTTATAGTTAGAATGATTTATCAGTAAAAGGGTGGATAATAGTAACTTAGGGGTCAATCAATTTGATGATAGTAGTTAGACAGGCATAGAGGACAGTCATAATAATACATTGTAGAAATTATATAAACAGAGGACAGTCATGTGGGTTAATTATATTATGGTCAATCCGAATTCTAACTGGATACATTGTAGTAGTAGAAAAACTATTAATCCGCCACTGAAGAACTAAGTCAGGGATATAATATAGGTATTAAATATTCAATAACTAGACGAAAATAGAAACGGATAAGTTATCAAGATTTGGTTTATTCCGATTCAGATAAAAAATGGAAGTTATAGGCATATTAAGCTTACACAATGAGAAAGTTAATCAATAATTAAAAATATACTGTATGAGCTAAATACATTGAATATGATGTGAAGTGTGTAAGTTTGTCTGCAGCGCCTCGGGAAGAAGACAGAGGTAGACTTGCCAAACGTTGACCCTGATGAGTAGGCTAGCAGCACATCTTATCCTGAGCAGGAACGTGCCACATCACTCTTCACACCAAAATTAAAATCAGTACAGTTAGTCTACGAGAAGCCACCGAGAAGAAACCAGATTTTTCAAGGCAAGCTCGCACCACTGGCATAAGTCTATCACCCGGTTATGAAGAGCAGACAATGGCTGTGACATCATGTGTTTACCGCTTGGGCAGCCAGGTTCACAACAACCTGCCTGAACCTTTTCTATTTTATTGCGACACTGCGCTTTAATTTTCAATAGTCCCTTGGTTAGTTTCCCTCTAATTAGTTACTAATTCTGAAACTAATCACGACAATTTTCGACACAAGATGTAAAGTCATAATTACTGTATATCGCAATTGCACCCCATTCCCGTATCCTCGGTTATGAGACAAGGTAACCCACAAAATTCATCAACCACACGAATTATGAACAAACCTGCACACTTCTCAGGCTATTGTTCGTATTACAGAAAGAACGCTTGGCCGATGGCCCAAGCGGCTAACAAGCCGATCAGTGGCGAAGAGGATAAAAGTAAAAAAAAAGTAAATAGAGGACGCCGGAACAAAAATTTGAACGACGTCCCCGACCTTCTTCATTTCCTGATGGTGTTAATAGATGCCCTATAATTTCATTTATATTTTGTTTTCCATACATAAAACTGATAAAATTACTGTTCTTTGTGGTAAATAATAATCCACAAATTGACGACAGCTTGACCATCTACATGATTCGCAACCTACTGTTATGGAATGCAGATCATGGCAGATTTTCCCGCTGCACTCAATATGTCAGTGGGTATTAAGCTCACGCGGTACAGCAATACAACCTTGAGAAACCACACTAGGACGTCAGAATTCCCCCACGCACGCCTTGACCAAGTTCCTAAGTTCCGCTGTTTGATCTTGTTCTAGCTTGTAGGTGCGAATCCACACAAAAAGTTAATTATTTCTTCAGGACCAATAAGAATGTAGAAATATGGAGTGGCTTTTCATACACTCTATCAAATTGAGCAATCTGAAAAAATACCTATGAAAATGTATATGCTGAGGGACAAGACAGATATGAGCAAGATTTAAAACATGTAGGTAACTAAAATCGTTTCGGCCTTCCCCAGATAATATCAGTACCTACAGTAGATAAGTTACTTTTACCTTTTGACATTGTCTCGTATATTGTATGTTCGGGCTCCATATTACAAACACCCCAGAAAGCTGATGCCTTAGCATAGTGGGCGACCTTCATTCACCACTGTTGACCAACAGCAGCCTTTACCCAGCGTCCACCTCATCTTACCTCACCCCATCCTCACTGACCCCTCCTGTGGGGACTACTGGGACTTGACATTTATCTACCACTAACTATGTGTGTTGTTTATTCTTGTGTTTTAAGTGTGTGTGTGTTTCAAGATGACTCCCCTACAGCTAATGACTGATCCAACACTTATCTTCCGCAGGGAAAAGAAAGCACTTCATCTCAAATACCCCAAAGGCAACCAAGAGGACACGAGGGGTACATTGAAGTGCTCCAGAGGAACCAGAAAGAAGAGAGAGTAAGGAAGCAGGATGTCTGGGCTAGACAACCCAGGATTCATGAAGGATGGGAACGAGAAAAACGACGTAGTGGTGCCAGTGGGTAATGGGCTGGACAAACCGGTTTCCCTGGAAAACAAAAACGACAAACCCAACGACTACTCCATGGTGAGTATGGTGGGGGGAGGGGGAGAGAGACTTGGTGAGTGTGGTGGGGGGAGGGGGAGAGAGACTTGGTGAGTGTGGAGAGGTAGGGGGAGAGGGACGATTGCGGGTGATGAAGGGAAGTAATGTGAGAAGGGATGAAGGAGGGAGGGAACGAGACGAGAGTTCAGTTAAAGCAATGACAACACGTCCGCCATTGTTATAAAGACACGTACTGACACCCGCCTCGGTAGATACAGTATGTAAACCTTAACCCAGGTTTTCACCATATTGGCGCCAATTTATTAACAGTCCTCAAGATAAAGGACATATCTAGCGTCAATAATATCGTCACAATTTCAACGCCATTTTCATTTTCATTTTGTGCTTAATGAACCGGTTATACATTCTCATAGCTCTACTTAAGGAGCCGTATTAACCGCAGAACCTTTGAGGCTCCATCTGTGTGTCACAGATTAAGGTCTTGTATACCTCGTTAGGGATAAATAAAACATTAACGTAGGAACCTGTTATAAGCCAGACTGTGACTCTGTTGTGGGTAATTATGTCATCAGAGGGTGGTGGTGGGGGCGGAGACCCAGTACCCCCCAGGAGACAACTACGGCAACTTCTACCCGGGCCACAACGATGAAGTTGACACCAGACAGCCGCCAGCAGAGGAAGACGACGAGGACAACAACATCCTCACGTTCCTCCCATGTTACCATGATATGAAGAAGAGGATGAACTCCGTCAATCAGGTTAGTTGATCTTTATTCTTAGCTCATGAATATTTAAATTTGATTCACTTATGATTTTCAGGAGTTTAGATTATGTTTTATCACATGTGCCCGAATTGCAAGTTTGTTACCGTCACCATACCCCGTTACAGAGCACTTAGTCACTTTACCCAAAATGTTACAGAATGTAAAATGTCACTGTACCTATTGTATTACAGAAAACAAGGTGGCACTGTTCTGGTTCCTATTGTGCTAAGAGTCCATATTGTGACTCTCCTATGTTAAAGAATACATAATGTGACTTCCTATTACGTTACAGAATACAAAGTGTGACTGTACCCATTGTGTTACAGGATGGTAAGGTCAAGGTGTGGGTGCGGCGGCTAGTGGTGTCTGTCTTGGCTACTCTCTACGTCGCCTACTTCATTGCCGTCCTCTCCATCCACACCAAAATACAAGTAAGTCCCCACACACCTGGTTCCTGTCCCCTCACAATTTCAAGGGCTCGTATTTTAATATTTTAAAAAGTTGTCGTGTGTGTGTGTGTGCGCGCGCGTATGTAACCAAACCTAATTTAACACAATTAAACCTAATCTAACTAAACCCAGCCAAACCTAATTTAACATAACCTAACTTAATCCGATCCCACCAAACCCAACCCCACCCGACCCCACCCCACCCGACCCCCCCACCCACCCCACCCCACCCCCACACCCCACCCCAGTGCAGTAATGTTTTAGGATTTACTTGGGCTACTGAAATTACTTTATCAAAATACTCTACTTGCTTATGTATTTTATTTGATTTTCATAATTGTTTACTTGATCTACCCTTCATTAATTACTTATTTTATTTGGATTACCTTTACTTTATTTAAATCCTTAAAGTAATTGTTTTACTTATGCTTGAGTTACTTAAACAGTCTTAAAATACTTAACTTCATCTTCCTTAAAATACCTGTTTTACTTGATCTGCTTCACTCACTTAATTTGCTCTGCTTAAGTTCCTTCCATAACTTAAAATTCTTACTTCAGCTATTTAAATTATCAGCATTACTCACTGTACTTAACTTGGTTGACTTAAATCACTTACCATACTTTACTTGCAGGAGGAGGATTACTGGTGTAGGGGGGATGGCTTCCTCATCATCTTGACAGGCATCGTGGGTCTGGGTCTTCTGTACTTCCAGGTGAGTGAGAGGCTTTAGTGACCATTATGAAGCCTGTGTTGGAGAGTGGCTGTTGTAGATAGACGTAGGATATATAGACAGACAAACAGATGGACGGGTATTGTTGGATACATAGATGGATGGATGGATAAATCAATAGATGTGCAGTGTAGTGCTTTTGCAGACTGCAGGATGTTGCTAACTTTTAAGTGTTGTGTATGTGCAGGTAACCATGTGACCATAGCAAGGCTGGAGAAAGTCAACATTGAGGATATGTCCCTGGGCTGTGTCAGTGAATTCTGTTACCTGGGTGACATGATCTATGATGGAGGGGGTGCTGAAGCTTGCTCAGTTGAAAGAGTCAAGGAAGTTTAAGGAACTGCTGTCTTTAATGACGGCAAGAGGACCTTCCATCAGTGTGAAGGAAAAGATGTATGCAACTGGCAATGGAAATGTGATGTTATACGTATAGCAGTAGAACGGTTAAAGAGGATGACTTGTGCAGGCTTGAGCAAGCTGAAATGAGAAGGGTGAGGTGCAGTTGCAGTGTAACATTGGTGTGACACTGTAAGATAAGAACCCTGTTCAGAGCTAAGATGGCAGTTGGGTATGAGAGCATTGCTAAAATTTTGTGTAGAAGTAGGCCGAGATGGTTTGATGGAGAGAATGGGCGAGACTAATTGGTGTCAAGAGATACAAGAGTCTAAATGTGCAAGGGAGGAGAGCCAGAGCAGGCCAAGTATGACACGGAGAGAGGTTGTAAGAAATGACAATAGAGTTAGAACCTGACAAGAGAAACTGCAGGACACAGTGCAGCATGGAGAGCTGCCATCAGGTAAGTGCGGTTAACCCACACAAGTGTAGAAATTGGCTGTAAAATGTTGATAATGAATTAATGATGGGTGCAGGTGGGTTCTTGCTTGCTTTTAATAGATAATCATTAAGTAAAATACTGTATGTGTATCACCGTTCATTCCTTCTAATAATTGCCATCTCTGAAAATACATATTACAGGATCACTAGGTGTTCTTGTCATGTATTTTGTTCATATTTCCAGTAATCTACGAAACATACATAGAGACCATGTTGGAAAATCTCACATCATGTATTTAAGAATCATGGCAGTGATTAGTAGAGCATCTTTTCTTTTATCCTCAAAATAATCCATAATTACATTTAAAACTTAACTGTATATGTGTTTATTTTATTTTTTGCTTTGATTTTAATCTCCAACAATTACTTCAGGCTATTGTTTGTGTCCACTCCTTCCTGTATCATCAACTGACACTAAACTTTCCCTGCAGGTGGTGAAGCCGCTGTGGGGAGCCATCCTGTACAAGAATTTTATTAAGAAGCTTGTGGTGCTGGGTGGCCAATTCTGGCAGCACAGGTGAGAGAGAGGGAGGGGAGAGAGAGAGAGAGAATGGGAAGAAATTATAGTTAAATACATGGGATTAACTTCCCCCTGATTTATTATCCCAGATGCCCACACCTGCATCAGTAACAGTTGAGTACACATAAACATACGAGAAGCATAACAAAGGTTAATGTACGGTACAGGTCGGGGTAGTATTCTTATGGTAGTGTCTCGACATACATACTACAGTAATAACAATTCACAGCATCTAACAACTACTTAACTAATTTATATATGATTAGAAGAGTAACTAAAAACTACTGAACTTATGGAGTGATGGTGGTGTCATGACTCAGATGTGAAGTGAAATATAGCTAGATACAACTTAAGATGGCCATTTGCATATACCGTAATCATGTTTTAACCTTGATATAAATACCTGTATGCATAAAGAGATAGGCGAAATTGCAGATTACAGCAACCAAAGAATCTGAAAAAAAAGAGTTTTCTGATGTTTTTTGATGCGATTGATTGAAATCTGACATTCGTTTTTATCGGAAATCACCCATTTTTTATTTAGCCAGAGTCACGTGGTCAGCCTCCACGAAAATACAAATAGTCGTTACAGTCACACAATTTGAGCAACAGTGTACGGGCAACAGGTGCTTTGATTTTATTCTTTCTAAAATTCAATAACTTCCTTATTATCAATTTGCAAAGAAAGTGTAAGATAAGAAAATGATCATAGAAAAAATAGTAATATCAATTGAGTGTAGTGAATTTCCAGAATTCTGTGGTTGTTGTTTACTGCAATATTACCGAGAGATTTACTTTACCTTGAGATATTTGTAATGGTGGTTCTGAAAGCTACTTGTGTTGTGTTGTGTTATAACTGATGTATAAGTTTAACACACACACACACACACGATAACGAGAGAAAATAGAAATGTTGTTACAATAGACTCAGTGGTTGAGTGTTTAGTTGTGGTTATTGATGGATCTCTTGACACAGAGTGTATTGTTGGGGCTAATGGTATTTTTTTAACACAATGTGTGGTTAACAGGTGGGTGCGACTGCTGGTATACCTATGTCTGGTGGGTGCAGTGGTAATCTTCTTGTTAGTGGATGCCAAGGAGGAACCTCACCGCCTCATCTCCGTTTTCGGTATCGCCGTCCTCCTCCTCTTTGGGTTCCTCTTCTCCGCTGCTCCACGCAAGGTGAGGGTCTTTGTCTGAACTGTGTCGTGTTGTACATTGCTGAGGATGCAGTTTTACTTACTTTTACTTATTACTTTTTTCCTCTTCGACAATGATCGGCATGTTAGCCACTTGGACGGTCAGTCACATCTCTGTTATGCACTATTGGCAAGTACGTATTGGGCATGCACTGGGTCCTGAATATATCTGAACCTGCTCCAGCGTTGCTCAATTCTGGTCATGAAAGAGCTCACACTTGGTGCCATCACAACACTGGCAGATTGTTCCAAGAGTTTACAATTCTCATTCTGAAAAAATTCGCCCTCACAGTTTTCTAGACTTGTGGCTTCTTCAACCTTGAACTGTGACCCCTTGTGGGGCAGGCATCCTCCAGCTCCAAGTATGAACATTCGACTGAGTAATGCCCTCTTGAGATGTTTACAAACTTTAATTAAGTCACCCCTTGCCCACCTATAGCCTAAGCCAGGTAGTTGCAAGCATTCTAATCTCTAACGGAAACTGAGGTGTCAGAATGCAGGCACCAGTCTGGTGATCCTCCTTTGAATATTCTCAATCAACTGAGTCTCTAGCATATATCAGGGACCAGATGGGGAAGCACCTTACTCTTAAAGGTCCTTTTCACATTTGGTCTCTATTAATGCAGTTTCTTTGTCCAGTTGGATCATGTGATACACTCTTTACTGTTGATACAACGTAGGTGCCATTTCTTTGACTACTCTTGAAGCTGACAGAGATCTTTCTGTATCTCTTCACAGTCTGTTTGGTTCTTAATTTCCCTGAATAACTTGGCATCGGTCAAAAACATTTGTATGGTGGTGTGTATTGCTTCCAGCATGTCATTTATGAAACAAACAAACAGGCCCAATTCACTGCCCTGTGGTATCATTGTTGTCACGGGAACACTTGACGATTTCGTGCCATTAATCACCACTCACTGCTTGTGATCATGAAGAAAGTCTCCGATCCATGTTAGGACGCGTCCCCGAATCCTATACCCTTCCAGTTTAATTCTCAGCCTTTCATGGGGATACGCTGTCGAAAGCCTTGGCAAAATCTAGGTACAGTATATATTGTTGATATTCCCACCCTCTTCCAGAATTTGAGGTCAAACATCCAGCACCTTGAGTAATTATGTTAAATAGGAACATCCCAGCATAAAACCATGTTGACAGTCTTTTACAAGGTTGTTTCGTAGTAAATGTCCTATCATGGCATCCCTTACAATGCTCTCTAGTACTTTACACACTATGCAGATCAGGCTCAGTGGCCTATAATTATTCATGGACTGACATTCGCTGTGCTTGAATAAGGGAGTCAGTCATTTTTCAGTCACTGGGGACCTTGTGCTCATTACAGAACAGGATCTTCAGGGGCTCAGAAAACTCGCACAACTCTCCTCACACTCTGGGTTGCTCTATGCCTGGGATGGGAATCTTAGGGACCTTTAATTTGAAAATTTATTTTTTATACCCTCTTCTGAGAACACAACGTGGGTCAGCGCTGTGTTAAACCGTCTTTTCTCAAATACAAGAAGATTATTCGCATCCTCTCTAATGAACATCGAGGAAAAGAATTTGTTGAACATATCCGCCTTTTCCTTGTCTAAATCTGCGTAACTACCTGTACTATCTTCAAGCGTTTTGTACTTATAATTTTTATACAGTACTTTATTTGCACTGAATGTAAGATAACCATGTGTATATATTTACAGTATTTTAAATAATGTGCCCCTCACTCATCCTTTACAGAGGGATAATTTTATAGGAAATTTTTAAATCCTTAGTATGTTCAAGCTTGTATATAACTGTTATCTGTGGGACCTATATCTATGGCTCAGTTCTCTGTTTAGGTCTTGGTACAGTATTTACATTTCATATTTCATAGTTAATATTGCTTGGCGATCATGAATTCCTCTTTCTTAACATTTTTTAATTTGTTTCTTGCCAGCTTGTACAGTAGTTCTTATTTTTTGACAGTTCTTACTTCTTGTTTTATGACAACTTGTAGTTCATGTTTCTTGACAAATAACAGTTCGTGTATGGAGAGTTGCATTGAATGTTTTCATTCCAGATAAGGTGGCGCCACGTAGCTTGGGGTATGGGTCTGCAGTTTTTATTGGGACTGGTTATCCTGCGGTGGCCTTTGGGTCAGGCAGTGTTTCAGTGTGCTGGTGACAAAGTCTCTACCTTCCTTGCTTTCACTGATGCTGGGTCAGGTTTCGTGTTTGGGGCCTTGGTATCGGAGCAACACATCTTTGCTTTCCAGGTAAATATAAGACAATGTTATTGATGTGGATAATTACCGGTAGTGAAATGCATCTATTCATTGCATTTCATATTATGAGTCATGCATAAAAGAACTGGTACAAAACCAGGTAGAACTTAAAATTCAGAGACAGTGTACAGTACTGTATAGGAATTTTATTATGATAATAGAACAGTACAGCTGCTTCCCGACTTACGACGGGGTTAGGGACCGACATCCAGGTCGTACGTCGAAATGGTCGTAGGTCGGAAATGCTGAATTAACACAGAAAATCTAAAATGGGGGTCTCTTTTTCTTCTCAGCACCACAAAACACTCATTTTTAAGCTTGCCAGCCATTTTAAAGTGAATTACAGATGAAAATTTTGTCTGTGTGACTTTGGGACTCGAAAATAAGTAATTTGACCAAATTTTGGTACGACTGAGGCAGGTCGTAAGTGCGGGTGGACGCAAGTCAAGTAGGTCGTAAGTCGGGGAGGTGCTGTATTTCAATAAAAAGATAAATACAGTACTACATAAAGAAGAAAGATTACTATTAGATAGACTCTAGATATGGAAATGTCCTGGTATTTTTTTAACATATAGAATTCTCATATACTAACACAATACTTATTTGCATTGGCTGAAAGAGTGTTGGAATGTAAACTCATTTAGCATGATTAAAATCGTGTACAGTATTTGATCGAGTATCAAGAGGGCTTTGCCTCGTGACATCTAAAATGGCATTGTTTTTGTACGTCACAAAGGGCTTTCACAATATGCTGAATCCATTGGTACTTACTTATGCTGGGCAGAACCCAGCTAGGAATTATGTCAACCAGTGTAAACCTTTTTAAACATAAAATTAACTGTTCTTTGATTTGAACAAATGACTACTGCTGGGTTGTGTGCAACTTCCAGGGAAACATGGCTGTTACCGGTAAGTACTGTTCAGTAAATGTCATTACAGTATTAATATTTGTACAGTAAAGTGAAAAGTGAGAGTGGATCCTATATGCCAAGATCCTATTTGGGACAGTGCCTGACCATCCTCACTCTCCTACCTTTACAGAAAATTAGCCATTCACAGCTGGATGAACCAGTGACCCTTAGGAAAGTAGGCAAGCAATGTATCCACTCGGCTATGTTACTCATTGGTAGAGTAATGACGATAAACACAGTAGACTGTACTTGTAACTTTCTTATAAATATCACAAGTTAGAATGGATCTTACAGTATTTATCACATACCATCTCTCCCACAGGTGTTGTCAGTGATATTGTTCTTCAGCTTCTGCATCCAGATCCTTTACTACTTCGGGGTGATGCAGTGGGTGGTGCTCAAGCTGGGCTGGTTCCTGCAGGTTACTGTTGGCACCACTGCTTGTGAGAGTGTCAATGCTGCTGCCAATATCTTCCTTGGTCAGGTAAGTCCTGCAAGACATAGTATTCAGATTTCCTTTCATTTGACACTATAACTTGATGAAGGTAAGAGAAAGAACCGTGACACATATGAGATGATTGACCCATAGTTAGGACTGTTTGTGTTGTAATTATAGGACAACTTAGCCAGTGTGCAGAATTCCTTACAAATCTCAATAGCTGCCTTTGGGTGGTTTTGATGTGAGAAGTTGCAAAGAATAAACAGATGGCTACAAGTTATTTTTTTATGAAGCAGTATTTCGTTTACTAATTCCCATCACCACCCTCAGACTGAGGCACCACTGCTGATCAAACCATTCATCCCTGACATGACCAAGTCAGAGCTTCACGCCGTCATGACTGGAGGTTTTGCCACCATTGCTGGCTCGGTTCTCGCTGCCTACATCTCCTTTGGAGTCGACCCTGCACATTTGTTGTCCGCCTCCGTTATGAGTGCTCCAGCAGCTCTTGCTTTTGCCAAGCTCTTCTACCCAGAAACAAAACAATCCAGAACTGGTGTTAAGGATATCAAGATAGAAAAGGGGTAGGTAGATAAACCTTATTCTCTCTGGAGATAATGTCAGGACAAAGGTCAAATTCAGCATTAATTTAAAAACCTCACAAGACAAGGTGATCATCTGACTGTCTACTTTTTCATCATGACAAGTGAAAAACATTCATAATAACAAACTGAAGTACTGTAGTTAACAAAGTCCCCTTTGTCCATAATATATTTAATCTTCATATACCACTTTATTGTGTGGTTGTTGCAGTGGTAGGCCTCAACCAGCTGCTATGGCATCAAGTCTTAGGAAATATGAGGAGCAGTCATAAAGATATTATTACTTCATGTGTAATCTTTCTTTCTCTCCTACATTAATTCTTCTTGCTACATTCACACGGCCTCCCCACTTTGTCGTTACATATCCATGAAGAAAGGAGGGTTTTTTTTATGGGGAATAGTCCACCCGGGCACAGGTTAGGAATCACTGTACTGTTCTGTATTAGATTGTGATTACTCTATACTCATAGTTAAGTTTCTATATATAATTCTGATTTTGAAAATCAATTAATTTCTCATACTGTATTAGCATTTGTCAGTTAGATGCAGTACTGTACATCAGTTAAACATGTTACAAAGGTCATGGTCAACCATATAGCCTAATACAAAAAGTTACCTTTCAGAGATGAAGCCAATTGTCTGCATGCTGCCATGGTTGGAGTGACCAATGCCATCCCCTTGGTGGCCAACATTGCCGCCAATCTTATCGCTTTTTATGCCTTCATCGCCCTCTTAAGCAGCATCTTTGACTGGTCATGCACCCTGGCTGGTGCTGAGGCTGGATTCTGCTCCCTTCAGGTGAGTTCTTTGAGAATTATCGCAAACACCACTGAAACTGAGGAGTACAAACTTCAAGATATTAGATATCCAAACCAATCACTACTGTATTTAGTATTTTTACTCTAAAACTTATCTTTATATATTTTACTTTTTGTTACTTTTATCCTCCTTGAACTGGCCCTTTAACTGTTGATTCTTGCTGGGTTAATGGAGCTGGAACATATAAAAATATATAGGGTTTTAGTAGCAAAACCCAACTGTCCTTTCTGTATTTAATAAGAAAATATATCATTTACAGTTCCAAGTGTATATCACTGTAGCTATGAGTGTTAAAATGAGGGGACGGAGGCTATATTAAATAGCTCTTATAAATACGTCCTCCTTGTGTGAGGGAGTGAGTGATAATGCCCGTAATATCTTCACCACTGATCGGTTCGTTAGCCACGTGTGCGATCGTCACGTCTTTGTTACGGTTCCTTATGCCTCCGTTTCTGGTTTCACAAGGAAATGTTGTTGATAGTAAAATACTTCAAGACTCTGGATTTAGTAGAAATATACCAAGTAAATGTTTTTAATTTTTTTAACAGTATTATATTATTTATTGTAATTCTCTAGGATTTTGGAGGTTAATAAAATACTTCTTTAATTTGAATTCTCAAAAATATGCATTTCTTGCTCTGTGTAGGGACTGTTTGGTTGGATCTTCATGCCACTAGCCTGGGTGATGGGAGTGGACTGGTCTGAATGTGACAAGGTTGGAGAACTCATAGGCATCAAGACCATCGTTAATGAGTTTGTTGCTTATGCCAGACTTGCCGAGATGAAGAATGCTGGAGATTTGTCGGTAAGGGTCAGCTATGAGATGTTAACAAGATAATTTGTAGTCTTAAGCATTGTATTAATAGTAGTAGCAGTGCCAATGTAGTAATTTGGGTTACAAATCCACTGAACCCTCACAGCCTTACTTGTTCCACATGGTTCACAACCGTAAGGTTCTTAATAAAAAAAATTGAATATTAATAAATGTTATTGTGAAATGTATCTTAAGGTTATCCTGCTAGTATGCCAATTGCAATTCATACTGCATATAGAATATGTAGGTCTGAATTTTATGGTATGCTAGGAGTCTCAAACATTATTAACCATTTGACCAACAGGTACGAGCCGAGGTGATCGCCACGTATGCACTGTGTGGGTTTAGCAACATCAGTTCTATCGGCATCAACCTGGGCGGGTTTGGTGCTATGGCCCCAGGGCGTAAGGCTGATTTAGCCAAGGTGGTGGTGAGGGCCATGATTGCTGGCAGCTGCGCCTGTTTCCTTACCGCTTGTATTGCTGGTAAGTATATGTCTGGGGTATTTTCATGACTTGAATTATCGTATCTACCACATATCAGCTTACTGGCCTTTTGACCTTTTCTTTGTTACTACTTTCATTGTCCAGTGTTGGTACAGGAGGAAACTGGAGTACTTGGGGAAAACCTACAATATTTGGTAGTCACACTGGATAATGCCTTTCTTACCATCTGATCTGAGTGTTGAGAGGTATATACTGTATTGATGTGGCACAGGAAAATATGGCACTGGAAAAATGGCACAACAAATTTCACTTCGAGCTCATGAACCACAAACGAGCTAATGAGCTATGGCGTGCATAGCATAGGATGATTATGCCTTTTTTCCGGTGCCATATTTTCCTATTGGCATTTTTACCTACATTCATTGATGTACTACCAACTCATTCATTGCTTAGTTTTAAGTTCATTTGTACAACAAAGAACATGCAGTCGTGTACCTAATGACCAAATATCTCTTTCACCAGGTACGTTGCTAAATGAGATAGACAACAGTAGCAGCAGTTCTGTTACCAACGTCACAGAGCTTAGTACCCTTAGTACTTGAACACCTCCACCTACCCCAAGGGATGTTTCCCAAGGCCTCAACTTACCTATACAATCCTTGTGTAATGTTTGTTGTTAATCATGTGTTTAAGCTGAAAAGTGGCTGCACTCGTGGTATTTCTTTGATAGACATAAGATATATGTTAATATATTCACTTAGTGATATAAGAGATTTAGACAAATGTTAAAAGCCATACTTTTCTACATATACATAAATGTGACAACATGTTACTTTAGAGTAGGGTATTGTATGTTGGTATCCCCACTACAAGTATGAAGTATCTAATGAACTTGGATTAACCTGAGATATGTACTCCGTTTGTCACTGGTATTGGACTGCCGTTCATTGGTGCCTGAAAACTTGAGGAATAAGTGTGGACTGCTCCAACTTGTGTGCATACTGCACAGTATTGACACTGGACCACATGAGTTTGAGTAAGTGCTATTATGGGATTCATTTAGCAATATACAGTACAGTGATAGTTAGGGTAAGAGTATATTAGTATACTGTAGTACAGTACAATAATGCATATGTAAATAATGTGGTGTATGAGTGTGTTATGCATCATATCCTGAAATCACAATACTGTACATACCTGTAATATATAAATTACTGAAACTAATTTTTTATAAATTCTATAAAAAAAAAATCTGACTAAAATTATATATATATATATACTGCATACAGTACTGTATATATTAGTGTTTGGGTTTGAAAATCTATTTTGTAATTTATGATTTTTACTGAATGCATGTAGTTGTACAGTAATAGTCTTGTATGGATCCAAGTGGTTGTGATTAATGCTCTGTGATATGTAAAAAACTTAACATGTAATTTTACTGTTGTAAATATTTTAAGATACGTGGAGTGTATTATACAAATATGTATTTGAAGTCAGGCAAGTAATGAGATGTGAAGTTTTTCATTACTGTATGTTCTTGCAGACAAGTTCACGTGTTCAACTTGCTTAGATTTCTTCATGGGAATATATCGATAAAAATATTGTACATGTGCCATGTACAGTTGCCTCCACACGAACCTACTGCAGCCTGGGAATGTGTGAGGGCTCGGGTAGGAGATGTGCAGGAACGCAGCGCCATATTTGGGGATGAATGGATGGGCGTCAAATGGGGAAATTACCCTGTTTGTGATAAGATAAAACAATAAAGTAGTTTAACAGAAAAACGAATCCTCTAATTACGTGTTATGCAACATTGTTGTGTATGTGTAGCCACGACCCAGTAACTAGGACTGAACTACAGAACGGGGAACTGGCAAACAGGGTAATCCACAGTTTCACGCCTATGACTATGGCACTGCGTTGCTACATCTCCTAAATGTGCCCCCCCACACACACACACACACCTAGGCTATGGTATATTCATGTGAAGTGCCTTGTATACCTGATGCTTGTCGTAAATATCTTGCACTGCACTGCAAAGAATGGATGAAGGCAGGCAACTCGAGTTTAGCCCCCCTTTGGCACACTGTTAAGAAGAGACTTACAAGAATGACATCTCTCTGTTCTCACTTCATTCTGGTGTCTGAGAAAACTCCTTGTGAACAATAATGGGCGGAATTCTTGCAGAGATTTTAGACCTAGTTTGTTTTGGGAGGTCAAAGGTTAGCTGGAGATCAGAATTCATGGATACTTTTAATTATTTTGTATAAGATATGTCCAGGCCACATGATGAGCCATTCGCTGACTTTAAATTCTCATGTACAGTACAGTATTTATACTGAACTCTTTTAATTTAAGTTCCATATTGGATCTATTTTTTTAACTTGTTTTGTGGAAATAATAAAATTTGTACTGTATTGTATAATTTCTGTTTTTCAAATGGCTTTTCATTATTTTATTAGTTACGGTGTAAAGTTGTGTAGTTGATGTATCAAAGTTAATTAACTTTTTTGTTCGTTGTTTATTATAACCATGTGCAAGTGATGATGAGAAACTGTGTGTGTTAATTATTTTAACTCCTCTTGTATCAGTTAGACAGTTAATTTAGCTTGGTATCAGGAAGTACAGAACTGTGTGTGTTGGAAAGTTGGTTATTTCAACTTCATGCATTAAGAACTAAACAACTTTACTGTCTTTCCTTTGTACTATATATCCGGAATATAGTTAATTTGCTTTGTATGGTTAGTAAATATAACTGTGTGTCATGAAATTAGTTAATTTAATTTTGTGCATCAGTAAATATTTTTTTGTATAAATTATGGAAATCTCTTTTATTACTGGAATATTCATAATAAAGTAAGCTATAATGAAATTATTTACATTATCTTTACACAGCTGTGGATCCACGGAATTGTCTTTCATATACAGTCAACCCTCACTTTACGCGGTCCCACATTCCGCGTTTCCACGTTTACGCGGTGCCCTGCCGGAACCCAGGATGCTCACATTCCGCCGTGCGTGTACCCCTTTACGCGGAGAGCGGCTGGCGAGCTGTGCCATTTTGGATCCAAACCCCCCGCCCTCTCCCGCCATCCGCCATGTTGTGTAAGTGGCGCGAGCATGGTGCGCACAAGGTCGCCCAGTCATCAAAACATTAATGAGTTCTTCACCTGCCGCCCACCACAGCCGGCCCAAGTCAGTGATAGTGATAATTATAGTGAGGATATGGACTTTGAGGGGTTTGACAAAGAGGCCCTGCAAGCCTCTGTGGTGGATAGTGATACAATTGATACAAGTGATACAGGTGAGGGCCAATAATCTGCCCTCTGCCTCGGAACCAACCGCCCATCCCCGTGTGCCCAGCCATCTTTTCTACTAATGTAAGTGTTAAAAAACCTAATATTGTTGATATTTCTCTAAATTATTAATTGTGTGTGCATACCTTCATAAAGTTAAGATAATATTTTTACGACAACATAGTTGTGTCGTCAAAAAGTGGAGTGTGGGGGTCGGCCCGGTCTCTATTTCAATTAATCCCATATGTTATGTTGTTCACTTTACGCTTTTCTCACTTTCCGCGGTACGCTGTGGGTTATATTAACCGCGTATGTGAGGGTTGACTGTACTGTACTTTTTTTACTTTTATTCTTTTCACCACTGATCGCCTCATTAGTCGCTTGGGCGATCGGTCACGTCTCTGTTACGCACTGTTGGCAAGTAATGGGCATGCACCGGCTCCTGAATGTACCTAAACCCGGGACTTGGACACCTTCTATATCAAGATAGGTTGAAGAAAGAGCTTGCATTTCCTAGAAAGACGAAGAGTGCAGTGAGATATGATAGAAGTATTTAAGTGGGTGAAGGGAATCAATAAAGGGGATAGAGATAAAGTTCTTATAATATCCGAGCAGGATAGGACTCGAAGCAATGGATTTAAGTTGGATAAGTTTAGGTTTAGGAGGGAGATAGGAAGGAACTGGTTAACAAATAGGGTGGTGGACGAGTGGAACAAGCTTAGCAACTTTGTACAAGTGCTGGAACGCTGGAAAGTTTTAAAAGGAGGCTAGATTGATTCACGGATGATAGAGAGTGGTAGAAACTCTCGACAGGAGCTGCCGTGCACAAGCCAACCGGTCTATTGCAGACTCCTTATGTTCTAATAATTTAGTTGCCTGATTTACCTTCTTCTCGCAATGACCCGAGAAGTTCAGTCCATTGTCAACGTACACGCCTAGGTCCTTTTCACAGTGTCTCAATTACTGCAGTTTCTTCGTTCCATTGGGACATATGATACACCTCTTTACCATTGGTACGTTCCAGGTGCAGCTTCTTACACTTCGTGACATTGAATCTTGGCAACCATTTCTTCGACCGTTCTTGAAGCTCGCAGAGATCCTTCTGCAGCTTTTCACAGTCTGCATATGGTACAAAACCTACAATGGACGAGTTGTCTGTCGAATTTTTTTCGTAAGATGGCTGGTCAATCGGTAAAAAAAATTTACCCAATATAGCCTATCTCGAATCTAAGCATCCAAATACTTATGGTAGTTAAAGTAAAATTTACTCATTAATAAATATAAATGATACATCTCAATGGTTCACTTGTGAATCATCAAAACAATAACAGCACTATGTTGTCATGTTTACCTAACATCAGGCACTCTTAAAACAAAGTCCAGACAATGTCATTCTAAATTGACTCGTATCTCTATCCCTGCGTCATCGGCAGGGAAGGTGGTGACGTCAACGCAAATGGCGGTCCTGTTTCTAGAGAAATAATTTTATCTCGCTATTATAGCAAGGCTTTAAACTTTTATCGCTCTACGAAAGAGGCAGAGTGTATTCCTTGTGTTTACCCAGAACCGACAACTCGTCCATTGTTGTGATGGGTGGGAGAATTGGAGGTGAGAAAGATCTGTAAAAAGATAACTACAGTAAGACAAACTCTTAGTATTATACCTTTGAATCCCTGAGTGGGACCGTTTCAAACTAGTATTCAGTAGACTGAACAACTAAGAGATCCCTCGTGTAGTGCAATCACAATGTGAGCTCTTTCAAGACCAGTTTTTGACCAACACTGGCGCAGCCGCAGGTACACATATCAAGGTAGGTAGATAACCTACCTTGACATATTACATTCAAGAGCCAGTGCAAGTGCATGCCCAGTCCTTGCCAAGTTGCCAACAGATGTGACCGACTGCCCAAGTGGCTAACGAACCAATCAGCGACGACTTGAAGAATAAAAGTAAAAGTACGTACGTGACCAGACTGTGTATTAGGGAAAGGGAGTGGAGCCAGAAAATTAGGAATGGGGAAGAGGGTAAAATGACAAAAGAATATGGGATGTGGGAAATAAAGAAGGAAGTGGCATACCTACGAAAAAATATAGGAAATGGTGATAACAGCTGAGTGAGGCAGGAGGACAACAGATGGTCGCCACTCATCAGGTAGATGGCGCAGGCGTCGCCGTGGTGAACGCAAGAATATTACTTATTATTGTTAGTCTGTTCAACTCGTGTTGATCCTGCAGCACTAGGACCCAGCTTACATCTCCACCTTTGCATATTGGTGTGTCACCACAGTGTAGTTTATTAGAATGTTGTAGTGGAATTCTCCCCTACAAACGCTGTTTGTCGCTGCCTAGCCGACCCCACCAATTCCCCAGTGTATGCCTCGTGGTCTAGGTCAACCAGCGCCGCCATCACCACGGAGCGAGGGTCAACTGCTAAGCCACGCCTACCCCCGCTATTTAAGACCTGACCTCGTGGTGATCTGCCGCTCTTTCTACCTACACCAACCAGCCAGCAACACCACCTCCGCCGCCTGCCTGGCGGTCCTCTCTCCCGCTGGCGAGCATGGCGACCCACAAGCTGTCCTTCTCTGAGCGTCCTCACCAACCAGCTCTCTCTACATCACGCTTATAACCATGCTGCCTTCCCAGCACCAAGCTGCATTGTACATCCAATACAACATGTATATAGAGAGCACATTGTGAGTTTCCTTTCTCCAACCCATCCTGAGTGTGAACCAAACAAACTTGAACCCCACAATGTGATGCAGTAACCTGTAACTCCTACATGCTTTACACTGAACTACTTTCACTTACTGCAAGGAGAAGGAATGTACAGGAAGGAAATAGAACGCCCTTTAAAACCCATTATTTTCTTTGTGGCCTGTGTTTAACGCGCCATCCATGAAGGGTGCGACATAAAGAACGTTTTGGTAATATATAAGTAACTATTTAAAAATATCTTCAAACGTCCGTTCATTTATGTTCACATTCGTATATTTATTTGTTTCATCTTATAAGATATTTGAATTTTATTATTTTAATTTCATACTAAGAAAACAGGCATGCATTCACAGAATGACTGTTTGATTGGCTAAACATACAGACGCGGAAAAATATAAAATTGTTACTTTAATTATTATTTCTTTCATAAAAACAACTTTTGCTTTGTTTACATTATCTGTGTGAATAACTAAATTTCACTTGGATGACGATCCTAATGAACCAACACTGAGTTTGAACATAATTGCGTGTTGGTTGATGAGATCATTTTTTTATATTTTGGAGATAAAAGCAAGTAATCTTATCAGAGTTGAAAAGTTATTTCCTCACTCTCCGATACAAGCGGTGGCAGTAGATAGTCGATACTTGACAGTGGATTCGACGAGAAGTGGTACACAAACACACACACACACACACATATTTCACACCACTGCCAACGCTTCAACATTCACAGATTGTCACATTACTATCAAGTGACACCACTACCATGGATGATTTCCATCAACCTGCCACAACACAAACACCACTCAACCCAGATGACGAGAACGCAAGAACTGAGGTCAACGCTGAAGATGGAATGAACAAAGGAAGGGTGAATACTTGCGCTAAGATCAACGCTGCGTTCGAGCCAGACACAGGTCCACTGGAAGCCATTCCCATGAAGGAGGTAACTGAGGTATGAGTAATAATAAATAATAATAATTAACGGTTTATTGAAAGAGCTTGGCAGCCAGAAGGCTGCTACCTCCACAATCTCGAGTGTTTATTATGTGCAAGTGATAAAAAAATTTCGTCATTAATATTTTTCTTGAGTTCTTCCTGCTTCTCCTTTCTCCTTTTCAAACATTTAAACCCACACTCCATTCGTCTTCTTTTTTTTTTTTCCACCACTCAGCTTAATAGCCGTTCGGGCGGTTGGTCTATTCAGTATGGGTATAGGAGAATGGACTACGGGCTGTGATGTTTGGTAAGGTCACACTAGATAACAACCCCTTTTAACGTGTGTCTGGGCCAAGCAGAATTCAAACCCTTGGCAAATTGGTGAGATACGCGCCTTACCACTACTCATGTACACTTATTTTTGGTAAATTTGCATGTTCAATCAATAGAGCCCTCGATTTGAGCAATTGTGTTTATCCGATAGCTTAGACAATTTTAAGACACTTTTCTTCTGTGACGTTTCCCTCGCAAATGATTTAAAATTACCAAGCTTAACCTCCAAACCGGGGGGCTCCCAAACACTTGATGCAATGTTCTCTGGTCGTGCTCTACGTGCTCCTTTACTTCAATATTTTCTTAAAGTTTCAACTGTTCACCCTCTCCAATTGTGTTTCCTTCGCTCAGTCCTTTCATCTCCTCGGCCTTCTTCTGTCTCTCCTTTCCATCACTCACAAATGAAAAACTTTTTTACCAGTCTTTCAAACTCATTTTCTCTGCCCCAGCAAACTTAACAAATCCACCTCTCAACTTCGCACCCCAGACACGGCTTATGGTGTTTCCAAACTAATGTTTTCGTTATTTTAGTTTAGTAATACAATAAAATGTTCACCAGGGCGTGAAAGGAACCCCTCTTGAACATGTTCAAGTTAACCATGACAACGGTAACGCCGCCACTACCGCCGTCAACGTTCATAAAACCACCGCCAGCCGAACACCCATCACTGTAATCGGCACCACAACAGATGGTGCGTACCCCAACGACATGGGTGAAGAGGGATCCGATGACGAAGACTACGGACTTTTCACTCTTCTACCAAATTATGCCCAGCTGAAAGCAAAGACAGATAGCTTCCTACAGGTATGTGAGGCGATGTGTAGTTTATTATCTAAGCGGTTCCGTGATAACAGCTATTAAGATAGATCCAGAGTGCAAAAATACATCCACGTGGCAAAATACTTGCCCCAACTCAGGTAAGTTGTTTACATTGTGTAGGGGTCACGATGGTTCACGGTTAACATGGCACGTAAGTGATTTATTGTCCTGTAAACACAACGTTTGCTGTCTCACAAATGATCCCAAAACAGCATTCAAATGTGGTACACTTTTGAATCATTAAAACTACCTCTCAAGATATGTTTCTTTAAAGTGTATAATTGTTATCTACATCTTGGTCCTGTTGCAGGGGCACGCCACTAAAAGGTGGCGGAAACTAGCAGTGTCAATATTGTTGGGAGTTGGTTACCTCGCCTACTTCTACGCCGTACTTGCTATCAAGACAGAGATGGAGGTAATATGAAGTATTTTGTTACAGTAATGTCAGATATATACCACCGAGCTTTAGTGATTAGATAATTGCTCTACTTCTTGTGATTTAATCAGGAGAGCTTGACTCATGCTTTCCATCAGACCTACTTAACCAAATATACCTTAAGCGTATGAGGCTAGATTTGGCTTATTTCTATCGTTTTATCTGTTGACATCTTGAGAGATTGCACGAATCCTTGATCTATATTTTAAGAAACATGACACCAAGTTTTCCAATCAGTCACAGTTTGGCTACCAAGTGTTCTCTTTTACCATGTGTGGTAACTTACACTCTTATCATGTGACGATACAGGGAAGTGTTGGAGGCTTTGTTTCTCTTGCCGAGATTCTTTCAAGTGGTTTTTTTAACATAGTTTTTCACTGTAGACTTGAATGTTGAGTGAAAATTTGCATAGTATAATCGTCTTGACAGTAAATCCCTAGAAATCTCATGGGGCCTCTTTTTCACATATTTCAACACGGGTCGTTGTGTTGAAGTGGTAGGCTAAGGTCAAGAGAAAAGTACGTTTTTCATGAAATACAAAAACTATTTCCATACTTAAAACATTCATTTTCAAGTATAATTACATGTTTAGTGTTACAATAGCTACTATATGTATGATAATTTTGAGGTGAAGTAATTCCTGGGCATCCAACGAATCTGTGGCAGTTTGTTGAACTTTGCAGGCACGTGCAGTGTGACTTCAAGTGATACTCAAAACTTATCTTTCACAGTATTCATACTTAAGAAACTGCTTCCTCTGACAAATATTTACTTTGTAAAGTGTGAAAAGGGTAGTACCGTAGGAATGAAGGGCCTCCCGTCATAAGGGTTGTTATTAAAAGTCCAGGTCCCCTGAGTCCACCCAACTGTGAATGGGTACCTAACTTTACAGTTGGGAAGCGAAGGTGGCTGAGTATAGTGCCGGCCACAGTCCCTCTTTCTGTACCGAATGCTCAATTTAATAGTCTGCTGTATCCGTTCTGTCTCAAACTGATCCCCGGAACCCACTTGCATTTTCATACTACAGTAGTGCGAAACTTTCTGTTTGGGTTTTTAGCATATGAAATTTCGCACTGTAGATGTGGTTATATTTCTGCAGTAAATTCATTTTAATATTCTTGCGAGATACTACTGAGAATAAGACATGGGCAAATTTCCATCGAAGGTTACCCAGCCAGTCTGTTTCTCACTTGGTAAAATCTTCTACTCCATTACCTGAAAAACTAAGTTAACAAAATCACACAATTTCAAGTCCTAACACCGTGTTAAGTTAGGCTAGGTTAGATTAGATTATGTTGAACCAAGTCAGATAAAACCATATTAGGTTAGGTTAGAATTAACTAAGTTAAAGTAGGCTAGAATATGTTAGATTACACCGAGTCTTGCTAGGTTAAGTTAGGTGTGGTGGAAATTTGTTCCACAACCTCTAACCTTTGTAACGATCAGATGATTTCTTCAAATATTAATATCTACATATTCGGGTGCATGTATAAGATGTTTCCTTGGTGTATTCACTAAAAGTTCACCAAAAATTATCACAGTTTCTCACATTGTTTTTTCCCCACTCTTATCTTACTGTTTTCCCGAGTCATAGCTTCTGTTCCGCTGTCTTTATGCCACTACTACTGTCTTTATGTTTCAGGGCTTCAACTACTGGTGTGAGGCTGACGGCTTACTCATTATCCTGACCTTCTGTGTGGGTATCGGCATGTCTTATTTTCTGGTAAGTGTTTTGAACTACTTGGTAACCGAGGCAAAAGGGAGGAAGGGAAGCGGTATCAACTGGTGTGTACCACTTAAACAACTTTAAATAGGTGATTAAATTGGACCTTGTGATAAATATAGATAGTTTGTCAAGAATGTGATTGGTTGAAACACCTATTACACTTGATGTCAGTGCTTATGTTGTAATATTTACGTATCAGTTTATGCAGAGACCATTTAACATTACATGTCTTTTGTTTCAGGTGATCAAGCCATACTATGGTCGTTCCATCAATAACATAGTCCTCAAGCCAGTCTATAAAGCGTATGAGCGAGCGTGGTCTCTCAGGTGGGACATCTGTTATCTTTCAGTCGTACTGTGATTGACACACACACACACACACCAGTCTTTACCCCTGGACTTTCATACATATTCACGTAAATAAAACTAAAAACGTGAAAGAAAGATTTTAGAAGCAGTTTCAATATTTTCTGCTTAAGATGATATAAGCATATAGATAAAGCAAAATGATAGTAATTTTAGCTGGGGTAAAATATCAATTTATATCTTAAATCTATCAAATTAAGGTGGAGTTGTGGTGGAGTTAATGGATTTCTGGATTTTTTTTTCTTTTAGGGTACATTAATGATCAGTTAGGTACAGTACATTCTTTGGCATGGATAATTCATCGTACGAACGTTTGTGTTTCTGGGCTCTGGAACTACAAATTATTTAATCACTCCCCCTCAGAAAAGCAATCTGGCAATTATCTAACGATTCTCTTCTTGATCCTCTAGGGAAGGCGACACAGTCCTTAAAGTAAATCTTTTAGCAGACTACTGTACGTATGCATAATCAGAAACAATAACGCAAAATACCTATATTACTAAGCTCAGTAATTTGTTTCCCTATTTTTGTGCTGTGTGATCGTTACTGCTGTTGTAATCAGGGCCGGATTCAGGAGTGGGCAAAGTGGGCAGCTGCCCAGGGGCCTCCACATTTTACAATATTTTATTTATTTGTTTATTCATTTGGATTATATTTATTTTCATTCTTTAAAATTCATGTTTATCTATTCCATCACGTAAAACTATGTTCAGCAAGAAGCGTGATAGAAATTAGGCTAGCTACTCCTTGAAATTCATGAATACCTGGTTATATACAGTTAATTAAAAATTTCTCAATGTTCTAATTTCCTCAATATAACTGCATATGGCTTCAAAATTCCCCAAAGAAGTGTTCAAATTTCAAAATTTTCCCGGGAGGCTTACAGTGCCCCCCGGAACACCCAGATGTTTAGGCTCGCCATCCCACCCTCTTGGGTAGTTATAATGAGGGGGGCCTCCACAAAGAGGCTGCCCATGGGCCTCCACAGGTCTAAATCCGGCACTGGTTGTAGTTGGTGGTGTTAATAGTTTATATTCTTGATTGCTCCTCGGTGCTGTGGTGGCTGGCTGTGGCGTGGTGCAGGTGGGTAAGGTGGGCCCTATACTTGGTGTTAACGGTGGCGGTGGGAGCCTTCTTAATATGGGATACTATCGACGATTCCGAACGACTCCAGTCAGTTTTCGGCGTATTCGTTTTACTGCTGTTTGGCTTCACATTCTCCAGAGCACCAGGCAAGGTAAGACAGCTTCACTTCCTAGTTGTTATCAATGTGTAGTAATTGTATTGTAAGGCAGCGACAGATACCATTGTCAGGATAGTGTTACGGTGGTATCTCCTCAGCCTAGTGTATATAGTAGTTCCTTTATTTACGAACGTGGTGAGCCAGTAACAACTCTCTTCTCATGACAAATATTTCAAAGTTCTTTCATTGTTTAGTGTCAGTGTGCAATGTTATATAGATCATTGTAAAATATATTGGCTTGTTCAGTATTAAACAGAATCTTGTGTATATCAACAGTAAAGAGAGTGTAGTGTGAAGGTAGGAGAACCATAGTGTAATACTGTACCATATAATGAAGACTTGTTTGGTGTGTCAGGTCCGGTGGCGTCACGTAGTGTGGGGGATGTTGCTACAGTTCGTGCTTGGTCTGATCATCCTACGCTGGCCTCTTGGTCGAGCCATCTTCCAGTGTTTGGCTGGAAAAGTCTCCGCCTTCCTGGCTACCACTGACGCTGGTTCAAACTTTGTCTTCGGCGACCTGGCCGCTGTCATGCATATCTTTGCCTTTACGGTAAGGTTCTTTCGCTCACTGTTACTTACATCAGTGTGAGGAAAATAAAACTACGAAGGACCAATGTTACAAAATTTTGAAAAACTTGGGCAGTGAAAGTAACAATAAAATCACAATACAAAGTTTGTTACATTTTATTTATGGGGTGCAGAACCGAATATAGATACAAAGCTTTTATGATCAGTGCCCGGGGCACCCTCAGCTCATCCAGGTGTGAAAGGATACTTAACTTTATAGTTGACTTGTTTCCTGTTGGTGTGCAGGTGTTACCAGTGACGCTGTACTTCAGCTTCTGCGTCCAGATCTTGTACTACCTGGGGGTGATGCAGTGGGTGGTACTCAAGCTGGGCTGGCTGCTGCAGGTAACTGTCGGCACCACCGTCTGTGAGAGTGTCAACGCCTCCGCCAACATCTTCCTAGGCATGGTGAGATTTAGGGGTTTCTGCATGTTGGGCCTGCCAGTGTTGAGTTAGAATAAACTGACACAAAGTTTACAGTAGATCTGTACTGTGTATACAGCAGCTTTATAAACTTATAAATACTGTGTACACTCTCATATTAGACAGAGGCACCACTGATGATCAAGCCCTTCGTGCCCTTGATGACCAAGTCAGAGATTCATGCCGTCATGACTGGAGGCTTCGCCACTGTCGCTGGTTCTGTCCTCGCCGCCTACATTTCCTTCGGCGTCGACCCCGTCCACCTGCTATCAGCTTCAGTCATGAGCGCTCCGGCGGCCCTCGCCTTCGCCAAACTTTTTTACCCTGAAACTAGAAAATCCAGAACAGGAGCCCAAAATTTACCCATGCTCAAAGGGTAGGCCTGTTGTCTTCCTGTTTCATTGTTGAATGAGGTTCTTCAGTTATTAAGGGATTTAGGCGAGTATACTAAATCACTTCACATTTGGTATTATACGAGTATTTCAGAGGAAAGCGAAAGAAGTGATTGTGTCACCAACTTGGTTTTCGTTCAGACACGAGCGTGTCAGGTGGATTTTTTATTTGGGGCATAACATATCAACTTTTCCTGTAAAATTACAACGCCCTAAACATAGGTACTGTAATAGAGTCACCAGTCAACCTGATTTTCTACTGGTTTGTGTTATATTAGGCCAAGGTGCAGCTGCCGCCCTTGACTTTACGATCTCTGTTTCGTGCTTAGAGCATTTCCAGTTCACCCAGCTGAGAATGGGTGCCTACCTTTGGATATGGTAAAATGAAAGTTGTCAAATATAACACCGGCGACATTACCTCCTTATGTACACTCCTCGCAGAAAGTTCTCAAACGCTTGAAGGGTCATACAATATGACAAAACGAACGAGAAATCTGAACATCGCCCGCTGAGGAAGTTTTATCGCAGATTAAATTACTCCTTTTCCCCTATAAATACTATAAAGACGAGCAACATATATTATTACGGAATACTGAGTCACTTAGTAACCAGGTGTACCAACCATTTTGTCGTGCCCAGCTGTTCCAGAACTTTTTGTGGTGAGTGTACCGCACTACGGGACCCTCATCCACCTTTACTGTTATACAGTCAAATGAAAATCTAGAGACAAAGCCATGAAGCCTTCATACAGAATGTCCCAAGTGAAAAGAAAGTGGGTCCCATGAGTAAAAGTGCCAGTTAGGGAGTATGGAGAATTTACCAGTGAATGATCAACATTCCAATTACTAAATGCAAAACAATTATTAATTTAATCTAAATACTATATGTATATATATATATATATATATATATATATATATATATATATATATATATATATATATTTATTTATTTATTTATTTATATATATGCAGTTGTCATTGCTATAAGGTCTTTATGATATTCTAATGTTTTCTTATAGCTCAAGTAAACTACAATAACTATCTTGCTGCCAGGTGAGCTGATCTAGAATTTAATAATACAAATGAACTACTAATACTGTACAAGGAAACTAACTTTGCCGTATCCTTGTATACTTTTATGCTGTCAGAATTGAAATGCAATACCTTTTTATGTTTTATCTCAAATATCAGTTTCAATTGATGAATCATCCCATCACAGTGAACAAACCTAATCTAATCACGATTACTTGATTTTCCAGGGAAGAGGCGAACATGATACATGCAGCCATGATCGGCGTGGCAAATGCAATTCCACTTGTAGCCACCATAGCTGGCAACCTCATTGCCTTTAATGCCATCATTGACCTCCTGAACAAACTCTTAAATTGGGTGTGCAACCTGGTTGGTACAGTAGACCAGACTTGTACTATGGAGGTGTGTACTCATGAACTTTATAATGCTCATAGCTTCTTAGTTGACCATGATTTAACAGGAGGCAAACATAAGAGATATTGCTTTATTGAGACAGTTTATAATAAGTCTAATAATAATTTGACTGTCGCAGATTTTCCAAACATGATTTTCACTAGAAATATTCGTGAACTTTTATGTTGTTAATTTCTCACAGTACAGTACAGTACAGTACACTCTTTGTATTTGGAATATCTTTGACAGCCTTTAGCAATAATCCTTAGCTTTTATTTTGTTTTCCTTTTACATTCTTAATTTTTGCACAGCTTCCCTCTCTCATAGTGATATAGATTTTGGTGAAGATTTTTAAATATTGTACGTTTGGATCTGTGTTTTGGTGACCTCATTATCACTAGTCAAGATCAGCTGTTGGATTTTCGATATACGGGAATGTTTTCAGTTCTCCTCCACTATTTTAATGCCAAAGGTGAGAATGGGTTAATTAACTGTCGCATATCCTCGTTTCAGAACGTTTTCGGTTGGATATTTATGCCTCTCGCGTGGGTGATGGGCGTCCAATGGTCAGAATGTGACGAGGTAGGCCAGCTGATCGCCTGGAAGACCATCATCAATGAATTTGTCGCCTATGCTAAACTCGCTGAGATGATGGATGAAGGAATTTTGTCGGTGAGGATATCATTACTCGTCAATTTTATCACTCAGTTTTAAATACTATTGTCAAATTGAACGAACAAAGATAAATTACATTAATGTTAAGTGATACTGCTTATAATGTGTAGCATTTGTTAACACATTGGGTACTGTATTAAACAAAATTCAGAAATATTAGAGCCATATTGTGAATCTAAAGTATTTGCTTCACTTTCCTGTGGCTAATGATTATGTCAGCCAATTATAATAGTAATGCTAATTATTATTAGTACTATCAACAATAACATATATAGAAACAAGCTAGTGTGACCTCAAGACACATCCATCCCTTACCAGAAACGGTCAATCATCATCTCTACCTATGCCCTGTGTGGCTTCAGCAATATCGGTTCCATTGGCATTACCCTGGGTGGATTAGGCGCCATGGTTCCTTCCCGCAGAATGGATATGGCCAAGGTGGCACTGAGAGCTATGATCGCTGGCAGCTGTTCCTGTTTTCTCACTGCTTGCGTGGCTGGTAGGTGTCCAAGCAGCTTAGTAGCGATATAGGTAGATCTTTGTCATGCATATGTATAATATATAATGTGCATATAGATTATAGATCATCGCACTGTTTATATTGACAGTTGTTTAGATTTAACATATTTAGTGTTATAAATTTGTATTACTGAACCATTAAATTTTCTAAATACCGTACATATTTACCGTAATGCAGTTGCCGTTATATAAAACCGATTTCGCTCAATGTCTCCTTGATATTGTTTATTGTGATTTTGTGGACTTGTCTACATACAAGTAGTTTATTTAATTTTAATTGTTTGGATATACATAATATAGTTATTTACATCGCGTTTTTGTTTAATGCATCATATTATTTTGTATTAGGCTAAAGTCGATGTTTCATTATCCACAGGAATGCTACTGTCAGACGCCGAGATCAACACTACGAAATGACTCAATCAGCAACAATATTTTGAGCGTTCCCAGTGATCAGCTGTAAGAACTCAGGTGCTCTACTTGTGAAATCAAGCAAGATGTCTTAGATTAATCCCCAGCGTTGTGATTCGTATTGAACTTCAGGTCGGTGATGAGAGGTGATTGTTTTAGATTGGTCAACTCACAGTTGGTAGCGAGGTGAAAGTGTTTGTATTTCTCCGTAATCCATAGTTTCCTTGTGATCCTAAAAAATAATATAAACTAACCCTTCACACTAGCATCATATCAAATCAGATTAAGAAGAGTTTATCACCCTGAATCTATTACTAATGCTCAAGCGAAAAAGTGCCTCTCCAGGCCAGCACTAGCCCAAAGTGGTTCTTGATACGTGCGGCCTACTCGCACCCACAGTAGTGCCTTTCAGTTTTGTCTAAAATTAATATATGTCTGTTCCTCCCAATAAAATCTCAGTCACAAGCAAGTTTTGGCCCTTATAACCTTAATTATATTTAGCCCTATTAAGAAAATATATCAGAATGGAGATGAGAATTTAGTAAACCTGCAAATAAATCTGTAGGAAAGGCAGAACTGCGTGAGTCAGTTTAGTTGGCGTTAAGCGCCTCCAGGCACTTAAAAAGAAAAATGATTGTGTGGTAAAAATGTGGATTGGAAGGAAAGAAGAACTCTGTGCTGTAAATACTCTTCTAAATGAACTATCGGCTGAAGATCTGTCATCTAGACTACAGTTGCCCCCATTTATAGTGGTCACTGTAGAGTGGCTGGCGTATTTTGTAAGATGTGGCAGAACCGCCCATCAGACAACAGACAGAAGCCAATGACGTTTTACTTGGTTATTTATATTAAAAATATAACCATGCAGATAATGCTTGCAGTCACAGGTATAGGTGAGGGCGTTTATTTAGAATCCTTAGTCTGTAAGTATAGCAAGGGTAGTGTAATTTCAGGCCTTTGGAATAATTACACATCCTAAATATCGGTAGGTACGCCATGATTTCGTGTCCACTATGACAGATTTACGAGGTGAATTAAAAAAAAAAAAAAAAAAAATATATATATATATATATATATATATATATATATATATATATATATATATATATATATATATATATATATATATATATATATATATATATATATATATATGGTGTAGGTACCAATGTTTTGGAAATTAACTTGAAGGAACTATCAACAGACACGTGAAGGGACTTTGTTATCACCTCGCATGTCGCCATATTCATAAACGACTCAAATTGTACAAACGTCAACATTGTCTTAATGACAGTGATAACGTTTCAGAAAATAATAGGTGGACAGACTTTTACATCCCGAACGTTTCCATAGATTAAGTGAGAAGAGTCTACTGTGTTTTGAAATAATGCATATTTTTTTTCTGAGCAGTCTGACAATACATCGTTATGCATTTATATATTATCAGTATAAAATATTCCATATTTATAATAGCTTTTATAATCTTATAGTTTTAACTTTGTATATCAATAAACTTCCATGGAAAAATAAGCATGATTAACCCTACCAACATAAAACCACTACTGTAGGGGCACTTAATTAAAGGCTTCTATAATAATGATACTTTTATCGCAAGAAAGATAGGCACATGATTACAGGATAAGATCTCTATGTGGAGGGGTGGCTCAGTGCTGGCAGGAGTCGATGGCAGGCGGTGACACACACAGGTGATCGATCAGCTGTATCCCCCGCTTTATTGATTGAACAAGTAACACGACTGGTTACCTCAGGTAGTAAACGGGTGCTGGGAATGCCTTGGTATAATTCATATGGACCAAAGTAGTTATTCGGAGAATAGTAAAAAATATATATATACTGTATATATATTTTAGCTGATCAAAAAATATCGTCATAAGTGTTAAGAAAAGCCACGAAGAATAATTTATTTTGTTCAATTCAATTTCAATTTCAATTGTTTATTCCTTGATAGAGGAAGCGGGATCCTCGTGCTGTACAATGACACCAGAAGCATCTGGCAAGTGTGACAAGTATATACAGTATAAATATTATAAAGGGGCTTACTAAAGCCTAAGGAAAGAAGGATATTCCTTTAACACATAATCAATATTATTTACAAAATATCTGGCCAGTATGGGGAGGATCATCGTGTCTCCGTCAGGGGGTCGTGGAGTGGTGGTCCAGCAGGCGTCACGGAAGCGTTGTGTGTGGGTTTATTTTGTTTTAAAATAAATGTAACTGAAAGATAACTGGAAGAAACGGTGAACTCTAAATGGAACTGTGCTTTGGGAAGCGTCTTGTGTAAAGGACCTAAGGTACAGTACTGTAGCTCTGTACTCACCCACCCGCTGTTGCTGGGCTCCCAAGATAAAAGTGTAGTTTCCAAAATGTATATTGCATCTTCCTACACGGGAAAGTATACCATGATAAGTAACATTCTAAAAAAAACGTACTGTTGAAGAAATTAACCTTTAAAGACATCCAGAAAAATTGTGATAACTTATTCTTGTTCCAATTAATTCTTGTATGACTACCAAAGTTATGGTCTTTTGTATATTGTACATCAAAGTACTCCACTATATGATTGTTAATGGCATTGTTACTAACGTGAAGTGTGAGTCACATCAGAGGAAGAGAACAAAGAAACAGCTTCGGGTATGAGACTAGTAAATAATGGTGTAATGAATAGTTTTCTAACTCCTGCTTGCTATGCTTTTAGTGATTCATACTGATATAACAATAACGTGTTTGCTGATACATATACATTACCTGTTGATTCTGATCCTATAGTTTTATGAATAAGCTTCAACAACTCAAGTCTTTTAACCGTCGCCTTCAAAGCGCGTGCCTAACGTAAGTCATCAGCAATCAAATACTACAAGAAATAACTTACTTATTTCTACCTGTTACCATTTGCTGTAAATTTACCTGCGAACATTGTTGAGTACGTTAAGGGATTCATTATTTTATCATCAAATTCATCAACTGTCTTTCTCATCAGCTGTCTTTGTTGGAAATCATACAAAAATTTAAAGTTGTTATTTTTAGTGGAGGTTCGGAGACTGAAAAATAACAAAGTCTTTACATTTTAGAAAATATCAATGACTAAAAGATTACCTCGTATAAATCGTAAAAAGCTTTGACTAGCGATTAATTAATGCTGTTAAATCTTAAACTGGGGAATACTGTAACTTATACCGCATCACTAAAACGAATGATTATTTTGTGTAGTACTTTATGAGGAAAGTTCACCTGCAGCCCAGGAAAATTTTCGTGGACCTCAGGCGTTTCATCATTTATCAGTAATAATTTCCGTAAAATTTGAATCACTAGCGTTAAAAGACGACCAAGGGGGATAAATTTGAGAGCTCTCGTATACTGTAAACAATGCGATAATTGCTTTCATATTCAGCTACAAAAGTTGGTGGCTCTAGTATCGACATCTGTGAACAGGACGTCGACATCAACACTAAATAAATCCTCTCACTGTTGCTCCGTCATGGATCGCTTCATAATCAAGTGAATTAGAATTATTTTAGGACCGATATATACTGGAAAGTTTTTGAGTCAGGCACCTGGTAGGCGTATAAGACTACCAAAAGAACCGATTCAGGAAAAGATCGATGATTCATGAAATACTCGAGGATCGGATCAACATAATATCGAGCTTTGGGAAAATGCCTTTTTGAGTACGTTCTTTCCTTTAATATAACGGCCTCCAGGAGTTATAATATATGGAAAGAGCCTCCAGGAGTTATAATGTTTGGAAAAGTGGCCTCCAGGAGTTATAATGTTTGGAAAAGTGGCCTCCAGGAGTTATAATATATGGAAAAGTGGCCTCCAGGAGTTATAATGTTTGGAAAAGTGGCCTCCAGGAGTTATAATGTATGGAAAAGTGGTCTCCAGGGTTATAATATATGGAAAAGTGGCCTCCAGGAGTTAGAATATACGGAAACGTTATCCAAGAGCTAGAATATATGAAAAATTGCCCATGAGTTTGGAGTACAAGGAAGGATGATTTTCAAGTGTTGGAAAATATGAAAAGTGGTCTCCAAGCACCAGCACACTGAACACTTCTGTACAGTACACGGGGCAAAGTTACGATATCAGCACTTCAATGACTTGTTAAATGAAGATATTTCAATCAGTGCGCTATAATTTTCCGATATCATAATGCCGACCACTTTTTGTAAGACAAAAATAAAACGTTATGATATCGTAACACTGACGACTTGGATAATGCCTAACCTAATTTTCCCTGGTTTAATCCTCCAGGCGATGGCGTTCAGATAACGTACAGGTAACAGCTAGGTATGATCAATATAATGAGGTTGTCAAAATTTTTATACAAACCTAAAAATATTTGTTGGCTAATTTGTAAATATAAACAGACGAACACACACACACACACATATATATATATATATATATATATATATATATATATATATATATATATATATATATATATATATATATATATATATATATATATATATATATATATATATATATATATATAAACTATGTATTAGGTTGTTGAGGAAAGAAATACAGGATTTATAATTTGTGACCTAAACCCGGAATAACCTCGGTAAATTGACTAGTGAGCCAATTTCCTAACTATTTTTGTACAGCAACCAATATGAGGTATGCAGTAGTTAGATGCGTTTTTACATGACATCTAAGGCGGGAGAGTGAACATACAGAGCTCTCGAGATCGGATTGTGTCGCTGTGTGCAGGTGTTAATGAATGTGGTTATCTCTGGGTACGATCACAGAACACAGTCACCCAATAACACTCGATTTCGTCACTAGTAAGAAGACGGATTTAGCTATGAAGAGACTGACGCGTTTTTTTTTTTAAGTTTTTATCTCGGAATAAAAATTCATTTCCTCACCAAGTTAGGAAAAGTAGCTGTATTATTTGCTTCGGGAGAAGACATAATGTTAATGATAACAATAACTCGTAAATATTATAATAACAATAATAATGAATGTTTTAACGCGTAAATATAGTGATGATAACAATTAACCTTTTTTTTTTCCTGTATTTCATGAAGTGTCAGATACTGGCCCAGGAGTTCTAGCTATAGGTCATGGAGTGTTAAAGACTATAGATTCCAAGTGTCACGGACTAGACCATGCAGTGTTAATTTTTAAGTTGTACAATGTTAATTACTAAGTTATACATTGGTAATTAGTAGGTCATGCAGTGTTAATTACTCATGCTGTCAATTAATAAATCATACAGTGTTATTACTGCACTTAGTCATTCGAGAGTGATAAACTGATAATATACGCTCAGGGTCGCATTCACTTGTTTACTGCATCTTGATTGATAAGATTGGGGTAAAAGCTGATACTATAAGAGAAATCTGTTGACTCCCTTTCATCATCACAGTTGCAGAATAGAGCAGTCGTATCATCTCAATTCTCTCTACTCAATCTTTTTTTTTCACCGAAAGATTAACCACCCTAACCTAACCTAACTTAACCTAATTCAATCTAACCTAAACTTAACTCCTAACCTAACTTAACCTAATTCAATCTAACCTAAACTTAACTTCTAACCTAACCTAACTTAACCTAATTCAATCTAACCTAAACTTAATTTCTAACCTAACCTACAACTTAACCTAACTTAACCTATAACCTAACTTAACCTATAACCTAACCTAACCTAACCTCACCACATCTGCCAAATAGTGTTAGGGTGGTTAATAAGCGGGATAAGAGATGATGAAAGAGAAAATCAGCAGATTTCTCTCACTAGCTTCTACTTCTCTTAAACTCATCTATAACCCACTCAACACTTCCCACCATTATTCTTGACTTTTCTTGCTGCGTTTGTATCCATTCACTGCGCAATCTTCACCAAGTCATCCACTGTACTGTTCGTCCAATTTGTACTTTATCATCTACATAACCTTGATAAACAACAAACGACCCCGAGTATTGCCCTGCAGCCTCATCCAATAACATTGACTTTAAACTTATCCGATACTCTTACCCCAGTCTTATTAACCCTACGAGGACGATAATTTAACACTGCAAAGACGATAGTTTAAAGTTTTTTGTCCTCAAAGGGATGTATCCTTGTACAGTTCTTCCTCCCCTCCCTTCCCCTCCCCTCCTCTCCCCGCCCCTCCTCAAAGGACGCCGTCAGTTTAAAGTTACAATAATTGTCTTGGCTTTCTGTCGTAAACCTTTTCTAAATTAACAAACTTGACTGTACAACAAGATAGAATGATAGTCATATATTTATCATTATTTCGTGAATTGGGCCGGTAGGTCTGGGACCCATTTGGATTGAGACCTGTTTGATTGATTGATTGACACGTTTATTGAGATACAAAAAAAAATGCATCTCAAAGGGATGAAGTGACATAAGTCATCCCCAAGCCAGTCCAGGACTGTCCCTCTCAGGACTCACATAAATCCCTAACACAGATATATCTCATATAATCAGTTATAGTACATACAGTTATATTCTAGATGCAAAATTTCTATATTTCTTTAATATTTCATCTATTTTCCTATTTTTCAACATCCATTCTATTTGCATGGAGACATTATTTATCTGGGCACTTCTATATCCATTAAGCAATGGGCATTCCAGTATATAATGTGGCAGGGTATGGGATCTGGATGTTCTACAAACTCTACATTCCTTATCCTGTTCACTTCTCTCAGCTCCAAGTAACCAGTAATATTTATGTCCTAATCTTAACCTCATATTCACTGAATCTTTCCACCTGCTCCTATCTTTCCCATGTGTAGAATTTGTGTTCATGAGAACATGATGGTAATGTTTCATTGTTTCACTTTTCTCATATATTTCATTCCATTTTAAATTATCTTCTATTGATTGTATTTTCCGCAATTTGCTCCTTAATTGTTTCAAAGTTTTAATACATATGTCGATCTCGGACTTTTCCGTGGCTCTTTTTGCTATTATATCTACTATTTCATTAAGACCAATCCCTACGTATGAAGGGACCTATACAAATCGAACACTATGGCCTTATTCCTTATTGTATTTACTAATGTTCCACATGAACCAATAATGTGTTCAAAGACCGGACTCCCGCTGTTCAAAGAATCCAAAGCTGCTCTACTATCAACAGAAAATATGCATCTTTATTCCTCTTTACAACATTTTCCAATCCAACTAACACTGCATATAACTCGGCTTGTGTTGATGATATGAAATTGCTCAGCCGGAGTCCAATTTTGGTGTCATCAGTACCTAGTTCTGTGTACTGTCTGTTTGAAGAATGACGCTTTAGTAAGATCTACTAGGAATGAGGTCCAGTAGGACTATGGACTACTAAATTAGCACTCATTCGGACGGGAACCATTTGACCAGATATCCTCTTAAGAGCTCGCCCACCAGCAGACACCTATGTCACACACAAAGTCTTGAGCGATGCTACTTATCATCTCATCGAGGTGAACCTGAAACTTGTGTACAGTTTGATATGCTGATAAATGATGAGAGATTTCTCTTTTTGTTTATTCTTGTCGGCTTTTTTTATGATGTGATGACGATTTCACAGTGCTCCCTGTGAACCGTAGAAAAAGCTTTTTGTGAAATACACATCTCCGCAAACGCCGCCCCCCCCCCCTGTTTATCAGACATCTAAAAAATTTAGAGCGATTCCAAGTGTAACCTTACTGGGTTTTTTATTCAGTTGCTTCAACTGTCAGGATCATAAGCACTGAGCTCCAGTACTGTAGTTTCTTAAAACGTGCAAATCTTTCCATATTTTGGGAGGTACAGGTCCACCATAATTAGGGAATTCTTTGGGTTTCCATTTTACTCGGGATTTTTTTGGTGTTTGTACTGAATGCCACTTGTCTCATATCATTCCAGATTACTGCAAGGTTTCCAGTCACGGCACAAATGACCACAGATAGGGTGGAGATGACGGTGGTAGGGTCGGAAGGTAAGGCACCGATACACATAGGTGGCGGTGTTGAAAACATGGCCTTCCAGGCTGACGACGTCTGTAAGGATCTTCCCCAGACACAGTTCGACCAGGCAAAGGTAAAGCATCACCACGCTGGAATCTTGGCTTTGTTGGTACGTAACAATGACTTGGTGGTGACATAATGTCCTATACTTGATGAGTATTGTTGGCACCAAGTGTTTGTCCTCCTTAAATCATTAGTAAATATACCAAAAATTTGATAAGTGAAATTAATAATTATGTACCTCACACAGTTCATAGTTAGCACTGTAGACAAACAAACACCTTCGCTCCACTAATGAGTATACCTGAGTAGTATTCCTGTATTGGTATTTCCTAATTGATGAAATTAAAACAAAATTTGTTAAAAACTCATTATTAATTATAAAATGGAAATAAAATATTATATTTCTAACTAAAAGCTCGATATAGATTGTTGTATAATGTATGTTCACATTAAACACCATATAGTGTACAGGTGACATTTGCCTAGAACTACGTACAGTACACACCCGCACTGATGTAACTGCGTGGTGTCTAGAAATATATTGATGAATACACCAAAATTACTCAAAATATTCTTGATATTCTTACGCGTGTATTGTATACAGGCATAAGTAAAACTATCATCTAGTGTACATTTTAGGGAAGATATACTTCACACTTGCAAATCATACCCACTTTGCTTGCTTCAATTGATTTCCTGGCCGTCAACTACTCATACCCAATAATGCAGCCATGTGTGTCCTGCAGACTGATGACGTGTTGGTGACGAACACCGGGGTGCTGCCACACGCCCAGGAGGAAGATTATAGCCTTCTCACTTTCTTGCCCAACTACCTCGAGATCAAGACTAAATTAAAGAAGGCCATCCCCATACCTGTAAGACTATATTTACTGCATGTTTTACAAATAACTAAAACTATGTTAATAAACTTACATACAAGTTAAAATTATGTCTGACTGAACCAATATGTTATCATTCATCATTCATATACTGAATATATATCGCAGTACTGTTGTTTTTATCTGTCAAATATAATTGCTGTCTTATCGTACCCATAGTCTGGTGTTACTCAGTGTCAACTAAGGGAATCTTGATACCTGGTAATCGCAGTTTTATCTTGGGTGTCTTATCACACATGTGGATTTTCCAGTGAACATAATTGGTATGGTAGTACAGTATCAGTTCAAGGGTCTCACACACACACACACACACGACAAGAGCCAACTGTTGCTTTTATTTATCAATGTTATTTATAAAATACAGTCAACATCGTATGTGACATTTAATACTTGATGGTATTCTGATGTTTCCAGTCTTGTATATTTAACTGTCCCTGAATATGAAGTGCCTCTAGTTTTAATCAATTTTATCTTCCCATGTAATTGTCTTCTTTTTTTTTTATTTGGCTCGCCCACTGTCACTATAGTTTCCGTCTTTACGTGTTAGGTTCTTCACTTGATATCTCACCGCTTTTCTTTTGTTTTCCGTCTATACGTGTTCATTTTGCTTTGCTTCTATGAGAGTAGTTTGGAGTTTTTGTATTTTTTTTTTATGTATTTACTTACCAAATCCCCCTTCTACAGCACTAGTAACACACATTGACCATAAAAATAAACTGTATACTGTAATAGTTTTCTAAAGCCTAAAGGCATCTTGGTCTACTGTGATACCCCGTTTCTGTTGACAATATGCTCTTCGCATTTTTGTTACAGGAGAGTCAGATACCTAAGTACAAGAGTATTGTGTTGTCGCTGGTGTTGCTGGTCGCCTACCTCCTCTACTTTATCGCAGTGCTCATCATCACCACCAAAGCTGAGGTAGGAAGATCTGCTCTGGGATTAAACGTTGGTACTCCCTGTTAAATATACATTCTTTATAACCCCTTACATTTTTTCCCGAGTAAATGTAGTCTCTCTTTCTCTATCTATCTCTCTATCTCTCTCAATATGTATTATTTTCTTTTTACAAATAAGAGACAGGATAAATTAGATTCTGTAAATGAAAAAATTCGTGTTTTTTAATTTGTATTGGTGTTTGTTTAGTATCAATGACATAACTTCGAGTACGCACTTAAAGACCTTAGTTGCTGAAGCGTAGTAATACAATGCGTTATGATATCAGCATTACAATATATTACATCACTATAGATTATAGGGCAGTGTTCATTGCTTCATAGGCTTATGTAGTTGTTTAGTGTTGTTTTTTCTTCAATTAAATTTGTAAATTCACTATTATCGTATTTACTCAAGTTTAACTGACAACTATATGTGTAAACTTTGCTTTACTTTAATAGCTCAAAATTAGCATGACTGCCTGTTAAGGCCAAAGATACACTATACTGTAAACGTTTATTTTGTACACACACACACACACACACACACACACGGTTAAAAAAAACCATCGTGTTAACTTTGAACGCCTGATATGACCGCGTAATGTGTCTACTGCAGAAGGATAACTACTGGTGTGACGCTGACGGTCTTCTCATCATCCTTACCTGCCTGGTCGGTCTAGGACTCCTATACTTCCAGGTGAGATAGATCGTAAAACATATTCTAAATTAACATAGGCTAACCCAGGCTAAACTGTCCAAGCCTATTTTATCTTAGCCTAAACTATCTGGTGTTATTTAGCCAAATCTAATCCGGCATCGCCTAACGTACCTAACCTGATTTACCTGCTACTGAAGAGACATAATTTAACCTGATCTAGACTAACTAAGCATAACCTAACGTAACCTAAGCTAACGGGGCATTAGGACTTAAGAAATTTTGTGGCGGGATTTCCTTTTCCGTTGGTTCCCTATATAATATTAATTTTCATATCTCATGATTTTATTTAACTACAATATTTTATAATTATCATTTTTATTATTATCTGCTATTTTACCAATTATCAGGTTACTAGCCGTTTGGGCGGTTGGTCTGTTCTTTGTTACGATTTTCATTGCCCTGCGTTTATACAGGAGGGCACACATCTTACCCAATCGGGGATCGAACCCAGGACACACGTTACCGCTATACCACTGTTACTGACGATTAGATTTTGTCAGGTACAGTATTAATATTATTATTATCATTATTATTATTATTATTATTATTATTATTATTATTATTATTATTATTATTATTATTATTTCAGGTTATCAAGCGGTTTTTCGGGGCGATGATCTACCGTACAGTCATCAAGTCCTTGGACGTCGCCATGACCGACCTCTTAGCAATCAAGTACGTAGCTTAAATTTATAATAAGTAGTTGGACGAAGGCAACGAGACTCACTACCAAGAAGCTGCTGTGTCGTGTTTATAATGTTTATACGAATATTATGAAGGAGATATAGTTGGATGTAGTTACTGGGTTCAAAACTAATGTAAGATATACAGTATTATTTATCCTCTTCACCACTCGACACTTTATTTAATCACTCGGTGTAGTAGTCCAGTCAGTACAGGAGGAAAATGAATAACTGTATAGCCTAAGAGTTCTAATTAATCAAGGTAAGTTCTAATCAATCAATCAAGGTACGGTTATCATGTCTGAGGGTTGGTGACCACGGCCCTTCACTCCTAACGTTTTCAGACTGTCTTTACCAATCTTCCCAAGTTTAGCGTCACCCTGAGGACCCAGTGGACATAGTTCTATCATTAGTTAACAATGAATCAGCAAATCTCCCGAAAATCGTTTATGCTGTCACACCATTGTTGTTCAGGAGCTAATATAAAAAGTCATTGAGACAGAGCAGTATTAGGCAGAGATGAGGAAGATGGTACTGATTGATGGGGTATATAGGTCGCTCATATTGCACTGGTAAAGGACCAACTCACCAAACGTTTAATTCTAAAATAGGAAAACTAATAAACCCTCGATGATATGGGTAGCAAGATGAACACCAGACCTGAAAATAAGAGAACAATCCGTCACATGTTTAATTTTAAAGGAGAGAATTACTGTTGTAAAATCTCGAAGATGCGGGAAGAAATATCGACCTTCCTGGTATAGGTGACCCTATACAGTACTGCCCGTGACCTCACTGAAGGACGCAGCCTCCCCTACCCCGTAAAGGAGGCTGTCTGAGGGTAGCTTACCTTATTTACCTAATGGACATCCACTAGAGGTGGCCTTTCCGAGAGGCCAGTGGCCTGTTGTTTCCACAGTTTGGGCCGGTAGACCATTCCATAGGTCTACCACCCTGTGCGTGTGAAGGTACAACCCAGGTAAAGGTTAAAATCTAGAAATTTAGTCTAGTGCATCCGTGTATGTTGTCCACATTTTTGCCTTAGCTTTCGGACAGTGCGATATAATATAATATATAAGTTAACCCTAACTAATAAGCTAAGGTAAATCTTACGGAGCATCCCTGACACAATGTGTTATGAAGAAGTAACTTTAACATATTTATTTACCACACAGTGACACGTCCATGAGCACAAGGCTGCTGCTGCTTATAGCCATTCGAGGGTTTCCTAGATGTTCTCCTTACATCAATTAAACAAAATATTGCCCCCAAATCAAAAGTACTGTACACACTGTGTCTCTGATATGTTGAAATAGGGAAGTACATTTCCCAAGGGTTTGGGGGATTACTGTGTCATGGTCACGGTGGCACGGCTGGTCTGTTTGAAACCTGATGATTCATATTATGCTCCACGGCCGCCACCCCCACAAAACATGTGGATAACTGGGGAGTTATCCCAAGGAAGAAACGCGTTTTCTCCAGCTTAGATCCCGTCCATTTTCTCCACTTCCTGTACCCAACCTCTCTCAAGTAAATTTGAATGTACAGTATGTGAGAACACCATTGTTTTGAGTCAACTTAGATATTTCTGATTACAGATGAAGCAGTCAAGATCCTTTGTGACTGACGTTGAGGAGCTGTAATTGTATTTACTGTTCCAACATGTGAGAGACCCGACACATTACAGAGGGGAACAAACACCCAAGCCACACGGACCTCATCATAACAAACGAGGAGGGTATGGTGGCCAAACTGGAACACCTTGCCCCAGTGCTGGCACCAGTCACCACACAGTGTTGTCATTCAGATTTAACTGTTACCTAGTTCAAGATAAGGCCAGGCCAAGGTGCAAATTTTATTACAAGGAAATTGGCAATGGGATGAGGGAAGAGATGAGGGGCATCAACTGGCCTGACTTATTAAGGCACAAGAACGCAGACACTACGCTGAATATCATAACTAGTAAAATGACCCATTTGATCGATAAATATATACCCAACACCAAAGTCCCAGTGCTTCAGGAATACGAGGGGATGAGCTGCAATTGTATTTACTGTTTGTGGTTGGGGTGGGGTGGTGTTGTGTGGTGTGTTGTTTGTTTTTTGTTGGGGGGTGTTGGTTGTGGGTGGGGTGGGGTTGGTGTTTTGGGGGTGTGTTTTGTAAATATTTGTCGATAAATATATACCCAAGACCAGTGCTTCGGATACGAGGATCTCACTGAACCTGCGGTCGACAATGAAAACCAGTAAGCTGGGTTGGTCAATGAAAAAGGAGGATGTTGCAAGCAAACCACAAAAAGGAAAGGAGTTAGCTGGTTGGGGTCGAACCAAAGGCGTTTCGATGCAAAGTCGATGAAACTGGTAGGGTATCAGACCTGAGGCTGAAGATGGTGTTGAGATTTTGGGATAAGCTGGGGCGTTGAACAGCTTCTTTTCCTCAGTGTTCACGAGGGATGTAACCTTCCTGGGTTTGAGGACAGACGGTTCGACACAGCACTGACCCCATTGTTCGAGGGTATTAGAAATAAACTGTCCAGGCTAAGGTCATAAGTCCTGGACCTGACATGGTGATCTGGTGCTGAGGCTGTGCAACGGCTTGGAGCCCTGAAGATTCTGTTTATGCTGGATGAACAAATGGTCCCAGTGAATGGAAAGTGGCATGTGAGTCCTATTTCGAAGGCGATAGGCACTCCACAACTATAGACGTGAGCTGACGCATAATATGAAATGTGAGAGTTTATCAGAGATGCAGCGATGGAACATCTACTAAAACAACCTTGTATTGCAACACGGTTTTATGGGGCGCTCTTGTGACACAATTGCTCAAGGTATTGATATTTGACCCATATTCTAGAACGGTGGTAATATCGACAATATTTACTTTTAGGCTTTCGACAGTGTACTGCTGAAATCAAACTGGAAGGTACATTCGGAATGTGGGATGAAGACTTTTTGACCGCACAATGTGTGGTGATTAATGGTGTTGTGTGGGGGCCGCAGGTAGTGTATTGGGCTGTTGTTGTTTGTTTCTAAAATTTGAGTTTACCTCCCATAAATGTTTGGATGAGGTTGGTTGATTAGGGTGTGGAGCTGCAGAAGGACCTCTGTGGGCTCCAGGAATGGTCGAAGGAATGGCTGCTGAGATTCAATGTCACGAAGTGTAAGAGGATGCACCTGGGGCGTACCAACGGTAAGGAGGCGTACCATATGTCCCAACGGGATGAAGAAAATGTACTAGTTGAGACTGTGTGTGAGAAGGACCTAGGTGTGTATGTTGACAATGAGCTGAAGTTCTCAGGCCATTGTGAGAAGAAGGTAAATCAGGCAAATAAATTATTGGGTCTTATAAGAAGGTCGTTCAGATATCTAGACGGTCCGTCCCTCGTGACGATCTTCAGGAGTGAAGTGCTTCCCCATCTGGAGTACTGTCACCCCATCTGGTCCCCGAGATATGCTAGGGACTGTCAGTTGGTTGAAAATGTGCAAAGGAGGGCCACCAAGCTGGTGCCTGCACTTCGGCATCTCAGCTACCCTGCGAGATTGGAGCGCCTGAACTTGCCTAGCTTATACTACAGACGGGCAAGGGGGGACCTAGTTGAGGTTTATAAGCATCTCAGGGGGCACTACTCAGTTGAGTGTCCTTACTTGGAGCTGGCGGACGCTCGCCCCACAAGGGGTCATAGCTCAAGATTGAAGAAGCCGCAAGTCCGGAAAACCGTGAGGGCAAACTTTTTCGGAGTGAGGGTTGTAAACTCTTGGAACAATCTACCAGAAAGTGTTGTGACGGCACCGAGTGTGAGCTCTTTCAAGAGAAGACTTGACCAACACTGGAGCGGGTTCAGGTACATTCAGGAGCCGGTGCATGCCCAGTATTTGCCAACAGTGCGTGACAGAGACGTGACCGATCGCCCGGGCGGCTAGCGAGCCGACCTTTTGGTGAAGAATATAAAGGAAAAGAGTCGTGACCGATCGCCCAAGCGGCTAACAAGCCGATCAGTGGCGAAGGATAAAAATAAAGTAAAAGTATAAAATTGCCACATCAGTGGGAGTTGAGTCTGCCAGGGAGAATGACGAAATACTAATCTCGCCCTTGGGGATAACTATGAGTTTCCAAGTCCTACTGAAATTGTGTCCTTTTGATGCCCAAACCTCAGAGAATCTGGTATTCGTAGTTTGGTTATTGTCAGTTGTCTATTTAAGAAAGCAATTAATTTCCTGAAAAGATTCTGTCAAACTCTATATCTCCAAGATCTCGCTTAAGTCAACCAGTTATTTATTTTTATCCTCTTCACCACTGATCGGCGGCTCGTTAGCTAGGTGCATTGACAGTGCCGAGGAATTTCCCTCGTGCGAACCTTTATAAATTTAGACTGTATAACAGCCCGAAGTAGCTGATGATAGGGGTGGCGAAGAGGAAGAAGTGCAATAAAACTGAGCATTCATCTTCATCTGGGCTGTGTAGCTGTTTATGACCTTATATTGTTTCCCCTGGCAGGTGGGTACCTTGGGTGGTGGGTCTCCTCCTGTTGGTGGGTGTGGCGGTATTCCTGGGTTTCGACGCACAAGATGACGTTCGCCGTTTCCAGGGTCTCATTGGCTTGGTGGTGCTGATCCTGTTCGGCTTCGTATTCTCGATCGCCCCCAGAAAGGTTCGTACTGATCACTTCTTAATGTAATGTAAGAAAGTTAATACTTTCTATTTTAGTCCAAGATGGTTAATACTGAAAATTTATCTTTGTTTGCGTCGGGGTACACTTTGCTAGGGTGTAAAGTGTTTTATATTAGTCGGGGTTCTTAACTTGCAAGACTTCAATTTTTATTATTACAGGGTTTGGTTTACACTAGGGTTATCATGATTCAAATATTGCTAAAGATGTAAGTAATTTTTTTCTCAGATTCGGTGGCGCCACGTCATCTGGGGTTTAATGATGCAGTTCACGATGGGGCTGTTCATCCTGAGGTGGCCGCTGGGGCAGCAAATCTTCACATGCTTAGCGGGTAAAGTGGCCACCTTCCTCTCCTTCACCGACGCAGGGACCAGCTTTGTGTTCGGGGACCTGGTCTCCGTACAACACATCTTTGCCTTCTCGGTAAATTTTATTGTTCGTTAAATACATATTTGGTGACGCTAATTGTCTTGTGATCCACGCTGGAGGAAATGATTACTTCCAGTACATAAGTTCAACACAGCCGTGAACAACACAAGTTGTATAAGATATTCCCTAAACAACAAAATTAATAGTCTCAAAATCAAGTATTTGCTTTATTGTGTTATCATGAAGAATATAGCTTACCAGGAGTGGGGTAAACCCATCGTTTTTTACTGGGAGATGTCAGCCAGCAAGTGGTACAGTATACGCCTACCTCTTCAGTTTGAACTTTGGTTTCCCCAACATAGTATGGATACATAGTTTCGACTAATTTATATGTATAAAAAACATAGTGTGTGTGTGTGTGTGTGTGTACTATCTAGAGCTACAGTTTTGAAGATAGAGCTGAAATTTATCATGGAGATGGGCATGCACCCCAGAAGTGCCTTGAAGGTGGTATTTGGGGAGTTTGCCCCAGTGGTCGGCCCACTACCCCAAAGGAAGAAGAACGACCCTCCGTCAAAGTTGTAGTATACCAGTAGATGACCGTGTACTGGGTGTAATATAGCTAATAGTGTAGTCATGGATATAGGCTATGAGCTGCCTTTCAAAAACAAACCCAGGTATCAGCGTCGGGTACCCCCAGCGTGTTTATATTATAACAATCTCCCTTTACTACAGGTGCTGCCGGTAATCCTGTTCTTCAGCTTCTTCATCCAGATCCTTTACTACTTCGGGGTGATGCAGTGGGTGGTGCTCAAGCTGGGCTGGATGTTGCAGGTTACCATTGGCACCACTGCTTGTGAGAGTGTCAATGCTGCCGCCAACATCTTCCTCGGTCAGGTGGGTCATTTATGGTGCTCTGGAGACTCACTCAAGACCGAATTTAAATAGTATTTGTCTTTATTTGAACTTAGACTGAATTCTTGCAGTGTTTCTCTTTGATTGAATTAACTTACCGTGAGTTTCAAAGACGATGAGTTACAGTGACTAAGAGATACAGAGACTGAGTTACAGTGATTTGGAAGTAGAGTCTGAGTTACAATGACTTAGAGATACAGAGACCTTGGGTTACAGTGACTTAGAGATACAGTGGGTGAGTTATAGTGACATAGAGATAAAGAGAATTTCAGGTTACGGTGACTTAGAGATACAGAGACTTTTAGTTACAGTGACTTAGAGATATAGAGACTTTGAGTTACAGTGACTTAGAGATACAGTGGATGAATTATAGTGACTTAAAACTACAGAAACAGAGTTACAGTGATTTGGAAATATAAAAACTTTGAGTTCCAGGCCTAACTTTATATGAATTCGAGTTACAGACATAACAAACCCAGATATAAACCCCAGTCGTGTGTGTGTGTGTCAACAGACTGAGGCGCCGCTGCTCATCAAGCCATATATCCCCATGATGACAAAGTCGGAGCTTCACGCGGTCATGACGGGAGGCTTCGCTACCATTGCTGGCTCCGTCATGGCCGCCTACATCTCCCTGGGCGTCGACCCCGCCCAGCTCCTCTCAGCCTCCGTCATGAACGCCCCGGGTGCTCTCGCCTACTCCAAGCTTTTCTACCCTGAGACCGAACCCTCGAGTACCAGCATCAAGGATATCAAGATGGAAAAAGGGTAAGGTGGTGAATGTAAACAGACAGGTTAAGTAAATAAAGCCTTGGGACATTATAATGATTATAATGACAACATGACAGGGCCAAGGAGAGGACAGCAAGTGAGAGAGAGAGGTTAAGGAAATCCAGAACTTCTCTCCCTGTACCTCTACTTGTTGATATAAATGAGTGAGGCTTAACGTTACGGTTGTTTCTTCGCATAACTATCATGATGTGTATTTATTGTGTTTGGGGGGGGACAGGCAGTTATGTGTTTGGAAGTCAGATAAGTGGTCAGGCAGTTGTGTTGGGTGTGGGTCAGTTATTTTTTTTTTTTTATAGAAGTCTGTAGTCTAACCCATTTCGTCTGGTGTGACAGGCAAGAGGCGAACTGTCTACATGCAGCCATGGTGGGGGTGACCAACGCCATTCCTCTGGTGGCTAATATCGCTGCCAACCTCATCGCCTTCTACGCTTTCATCTCCTTCTGTAGTTACGTCTTCGACTGGTCCTGCACTCTGGCCGGCGCCGAGGAGGGAGTTTGCACGCTAGACGTAGGTATTTCTCCTGTGCGATTTAAAAGTAAACAATGTCTTTGTGATAATTTTTAAGAGGTTTAGGATACTCCTCCTAACACTCTTACTGTTATTTTGTTTGGTGAAGAAGGAACTAACCTTTGAGTTGGAAAATATTCTAACAAACCGCACAAAGTTTTGATCAAGTTTATTTGTTGGTGTTGAAAAGGTTTCACAATAATTTAGTCACCTTGGGAAATCAAACCCAGATAAAGAGAAACCCACCGACACACCCCTCAGCAGGAATAAAAAATATACAGTATGCAGTACATGTATTTTTGTCTTATGTATTACTGTTATGTATCTTGGTGCATCAATGAATAGGGCCTTTATACCTTGTGGGTACAATGCTCGTCTCCTATCCCGAGGGTCACTTGTTTGATCCCAGGGTATCCCCAGTCCTCCACCTGTTAATGGGTAACCGCCATGATCTAAATGGACTAACCTTTATAATTTCTGTTTTTTTTATTAACGAATTTTATATTATTCAAAGCCATTATATAACGTTACCGCGTACTTCAGAATCTTTTCGGGTGGATCTTCACGCCCCTGGCCTGGGTGATGGGCGTCGAGTGGTCTGAGTGTGGTCAGGTTGGGCAACTGATAGGCGTCAAGATCATTGTCAACGAGTTCGTCGCTTACTCCAAACTCGCCGAGATGATGAAAAATGGAGAAATATCGGTAAGTCTAGATTTTATGTTTATACAACTCCTAACTTGTAACATTTTTATATTCGGAAAAATCTTATGGGCAAAATTTTCAGAAATATGTTCACCGCACCACGGTCAAAGGCCTGCCCATCCATTCGTTAGGTTCATAATGCTGTATATTCCATATATGAACAGCTTCCTGGAAATAGAATCAATTTCCAAGATATCCCTTAATTAAACAAGAGTTATAATCAAGATCAGTATGAGACGTGCTTAATGTATGTATATACATGACGTTGCTGACATTACAAGGTCATTATTTACACCCAGTTTGAACAGCCTGCTACACAGTTTCTTCGATCTATCTCAGTTTCCTTAACCATATAGCACATCGTGATACAGTTCGGTCAATTTCCTTCCGTCTGCTAAACAGGGCAGGACAGAACCGCATACCCTTGGGGAACTAGCGGTAAAATTGCTGAAAGCTTTAAGTGTCGTTGATAATAATATTGATTATTGTAAATATAACATACACTGATGATGATAACCATATTTAATTAATATATTCCTATTCATAGTGCACAGCATAATCACGATAGATATCAACATTATGGTCTAATAAAATACAAAATATAAGTTTTTGGTCAAATATGAAAATATTAAGAGATAATAGGTCCTCCACTTGACTTAGTTTAAGTGGTTAAAGATCTTGGTTATTAAATCACATTAATAAATGAAAGCAATAATAGCATGGATTCTAAACACTTTGGAAATGTTATTGACCAGAAACGAGCATCAACGATCGCCACGTATGCACTGTGTGGGTTCAGCAACATCAGTTCCATCGGCATCAACCTGGGCGGGTTCGGTGCTATGGCCCCAGAGCGCAAGGGTGATTTAGCCAAGGTGGTGGTGAGGGCCATGATCGCTGGCAGCTGCGTCTGCTTCCTTACCGCTTGTATTGCTGGTACGTTCACCTGTATGTTTAACGTGTGTGTGAGTATTACCAAAGACCATCTTTAGATGGCCTTTGGTAATACTATCGCAGTATTAGAAACTCAAACATTCATGGATTCTTGCGTGAAGAAAACCATAGCCAAATACTTTAAGGCAGGCGTCTGGTCAAAATTTGGCTGCACGAACATGCTCCGCAAAGTTATTAGTCATTTTACCCCATGCAGGAACACTGTTGACGGTCGACGAGGACGTGACGACTGACGTCCTCAGCAGCACGGAGTCCTACAGCACCACGGACGTCTCCTCTCAATACGTTGTCTATTGAATCAACTTCTCCGTGTTTGTCCCCACATAATCATTCATATTTTTTTTACAAAAAATAAAATATACTTAGTTGGGCATTGAGGTCTAAGCATAATTACGTCATCGTGTGTTTAAGCTGCAATGCATTCTAAAGCTGGGGCAATACTCGGGGTCGGGCGTGGAGCGCCAATCTTTGTTTATATCGCTCTTGAATTATACAAAGGTTGTGTAACGTACAGTAATTTGCCACTAAAATGTCAAAAGTAAACTGCTGTGTGCCGTATCTTGTTTCAACGACGAGGCGAACACCCTCTTTAAGTTTTTGTAAGTTACCGGTCGATGAAAAGAAATAAAATGGAAAAGAATTGATCAGGAATGTAACCCAAGACGAATCTAAATGAAACAACGTTTGCAGCTTGCATTTTTCGGGTGGGCGGAAGACTTTATAATCGTATTTTTACTACATTTTCATGCTTGGCTGAATGGCTTTCAGTGATTAGTGAATATAACAAGAAAACACAACTTCGATCCTCTGAATCGAAGTGATGGGGAATCTTGAAGCCATTGCCTCTCAATATTAGCCCGAGGAACAATGCCCTCATACCACGCACTGCTTTCAACCGGGAAAAGACAAGTAATGTTTCAGGTAGGTACCTTTGAATGTATTTTAATAGTATTTAGACGTTGTTATATTGTAATGTTATAACTGTGCTTCGACAAAGAAAGTCTTTAAGTGCGTTGGAAATTACACTTTGCTAATAATATATATATTTTTTAATTATGAGAGATAAAACTCGGTGTATTTAGTCGTTGGGTCTTCCCTGTTTGTTGATTTTTTTTTCATAGGAATGTACAGTATAGCATTATGTGCAGATTTAAAATAAATTATGTACTCGTTTGGAGAAACGATAAGAAAATACCGCACTGAAAATTAATTTAGATTTTGTCGATGATTCAACAAAAGAACACACTTTCAGGGAAATGCTAATTCGAATAGATTTGGTGTTGATCCTTGAAACCGGGTTCCGGATGTTTTCACTTTGATGAATTGCTTATTTATTTTTAATAAAATACATGGTTCTATTGTTGTTTTAGGCAGTAATTAAAAACTTGGTTGCGTACCTTAACTGGCAATTTGAAATTTTTGGTAATACTTTATGACTGATGCGCGCCAACCACTTGCACATTGGAGACATTTCTACGTTACTTCATGGAGATTAACACATAAACGGCCCACCTCACTGCCAATCGAATATTTGACCCTAAAAATGAAAATAGTATTTTTAAACTTTTATATGTATAATGTATAATTTCACTAAGCAAAATTGGACCACTGGCACAAACTAAGCAGTTTTTTCTGATATTTTTCCCGCATGATACTAATGCTTGCATAATAATGCTATAAAATTTTCCATTTCAGTATCAATTTATACTTTGAAACTACAAAAGAGTCTTGATTAAACTAAAACTAAATTTGAGAGCAAGAAACAAAGTGCGGTATGAAATTTATACCGTCTGAGAGCCATTCATGTAGTAAGGCTCCGGCACTCAAGTAACTACCCCCATTCTTTACCAAATTTATAGACATGCCCTTTAAAGTAACGGAGACTCTCTTGGGCCCTTCAGCTTTCCGGGCCCCGGGACAACAATTATGGCTAGGCCCTGTCTGCAAGGTTTAAAATATTGTCAGGATACCTATGATGAAACGGATTAACGAACTGACAAAATGAACTGTTGTATAGTCGGCTTTAGCCAACAGTTCACTGGCTAGTCGTTATTAATGTCATCATGGCTGTGTTGAAAACTTGAAACTGATCGGCGAGCAAGGGTTCACGTTTACAATGAAACGTCTAATCAATTAGTTTTCGCCTCTGATTTCCTTGCACAAAATCCTCTACAGTACATATACTGTAAGCCATCGTCTTAGATATATTTTACGTTGTCTTTGAGCACAGAAAACATTAAAATCACCCATTTAACATCACTTTCTCGCAAAATAAAAGATAACGCTGGCTGTTACTTTATCCTCATTGTCACTGATCGGCCTGTTCGCCGATTGAGAAGTCGACCTCGCCTCTTTTTACGTAATGTTGGCAAGTACTAGGCATGTACTGGTTCCAGAGTGTATCTGCACCTGCGCCTGTGTTGTTTAAGTCTGGTCTCGAATGCGCTCACACTTGATGCTGTCACAATATTCTCTGGCAGATTGTTCCAAGAGTTTACAACTCTCACTCCAAAAAAGTTTGCCCTGACAATTTTCTGAACTTGTAGCTTCTTCAACCTTAAGCTGTGACTCCTAGTGGGGCGGGTAACGCCAGCTCCAGGTAATAGTCCCCTAAGGTGTTTATAGACTTCTATTAAGTCATCCCTTGACCGCGTATAGTATAAGCTGAGCAACTGCAGGCGTTCTAATGTCTCTGGGTACCTGTGGTGCCGGCACCAGTTTGGTGATCTTCCTTTGGACATTTTCAATCTCTACCATATCTGGGGTCCAGACGGTGTGACAGTACTCCATAGGGCTATGTGAACGCCCTTATAAGACCTTCTAGCTTATGCCAGTTCCAGAATGCATAGTGATAGTGATAAATAAACGATGACGTAATTATGGGATAGTTCTTCACCCCAAGCATTTTATTGTTTAAATTTTCTCGATTTTTTAAAAAATTTGAATGTGTGATTGGATTGTTTTACTGAATGAACTCTGCTGCCTTCGGATTCTGGAGGAATAATTTCGGATTAGTACTCGTAATTATATAAGCGATGATAAGGTTAACACCGTCCCCATTCATTATGAAAAGCTACGTGTCATTTAACATTGTGTTATTCTCATCAACTAGGTGTGTATAGTTACTGGTTGGTGAGGAGCGTTATGTACTGTACAGTACAGCATTGGAATTTAAAATTAATTACATGTGTATGCATACTATCATTGTAAATCAAATATCATGTTGTATAACTGCCCATATATTAGATATTCTTGATTTGTAATGGATAATGAAAACAGATAAAAAAAATGAAAGCTTTTATTGTAAACACAAAATAATTTTTGAGTACTTATAGTCTATGCTGTACAGATAATAGCCTCTTCTTGTCATATTACAAAGCCTTAATAATATAGTTGAGTCAGAATTATTTGATATAAAGTGGTTTAAAACATCACAAACAGTATTTTGTATAAAAGAATGAGTTGAAGGTTAGGTTTTATTTTACTAAAAAATTACACAAAAACTTTATATATATAATATATATATATATATATATATATATATATATATATATATATATATATATATATATATATATATATATATATATATATATATATATATATATATATATATATATGCAGTACCAATATACTGTACTGTATATAGTGAAATTATGAAATTAACAATTGAAAGAGAAAGCATCAAGTGCTACAAAAATGTTAGTCTTATTCTTAAGTATTGTATCATGTTAACTTGATGTGGTGGGCATAATTGGATGTGACGTCACTGCCGCAAATTGTTGTAAACTGCAGAAAACTGAGACTGCGGCCGTGCAGTGGAAATGAATGGAACGAAATATTACACTAACCGGAACAACAATTTCTCAGCAAAACCTGGGACCTATTTATGTGATAAAACAACAGTGGGATTTGTTTATTTATAAGGAACATCACAAAGGCGTTATCGTAATGAACGAAAGTGAATTGGAACTTCGTTTACCAAGGACTGAGAGTCGTGATGACCAGCAATTAAGCTGAACTTCATTGCTAGTGACACGGTTTACTAGTCGTGCGGTGTACATCAGTTTACTGTGACGCCATTACTAGTTCGTGCAGTGAACAATAGTGAAATGTTACAGCAATACTAGTATACTAGATCGTGCAGTGAACATCATTAAAATGTAGCGTCATGAATACTGACAGATTTGCAAGTTCATGTGATGTTGAAATTTTTATCAGTTGACTGACACAACTTGAACCAAGTAAAGGCTGTTATTTTACATTTCATATATCATTAAGCACCGCTCGCTAGCTCTTAGTTTCTATAACAGAAAATAAAGAACTGATGTCATGCTTGCTTCAGTGCTACAGTTCTTGGGTAATTTCATTTTTTTAGCATTAAATTCATCTACATTTGTTGGTAAAGTAACATTATAAGTCCAGACTTTACTATATGCGCATTTGACACCTAGATTTGCATTACCTTATGACTCAATAGCTGAAGCTTTTCTCTCTCAAGCTTGTTATATAATACGTAGACAGTGATTATATCACAGTTATGAAGCTGAATAATACAATGGCATGTGTGTCACCTGTGCACACATGATACCCATCAGGACACATAATTAGTATATGATTAAGTTACATTCATTACTACATTAATTAATATCAGGTGACGGTTAGAACATCATCACCGTCAAGCTAGACTCACCAACACAACACAGCCAGGGATCAGCTCCATCTACTACCTGCTCAAGACTCAAGATTGTTCCAAGCTTTGGAAACAAAGTACCTTAACTGTTCAGTACGTTGAAACATTCGTTTAATTACAGGTGACTGAGTATGCATGTATCACCGTTATCCTTGTTGGGGTTCAATGCTTAAATCGTGTGAAAAGAAAGGAAACGGACCAACATTCACGATAAAATACGAGTGTTGCATAACATTGTGCAGTACATACTGTATCATTTTACTCCTTAATGCAAATTTTTGTCAGTTTACAATATGGTAAATCTCGGAGAACAGTGAAATTATTCTGAACTAAAATGAAAGTCACAGTTTATTGTCACACTTCGCACACTTAAACATATTTAAACATATTTAAATCCAAATTTTACAATGAATTATTAATTTGAAGTTATTGCTTTATATTTGTATCTTTTAGTGTGATGATTTGTCTTTCTAAAGAAAGATGAAATATAGCACAGGTATATGTTTTACAACTAACGATATTGAAAACTTGTCTTCATAAAATTACTGATAAGGACCATCATCATATTCCCTTTTGAGTGATTGACGAATTTAAAGGAACACTTCATGGATTCAGAGGTAGAATATTAAAGTCTTTAGAGGTGGTGTGCGTGTGTAAAGAAGACTATTATAGTGTGTATGTGGGCTCAAAAATCTGTAATGCCAGCTTGAATTTTGGTGTATGTTTAAAGTTCTGTGATTCCAAATTGACCTAACATGATTTTTGAACTTACACGTTATCTTTCCACATAAACATATAGATAGGCTCCAAAAACCTCTGAAATGACCTCTTAAGTGTGATGAACAGATATTAAATGTATGTAATAGTTTTGAGCTCATTCAAGCAATATACAAAAAAATTCTCAACTTACATGAAATTTAGATCGTTTAGTTTCTTTGTTTATCTTTAAAATAAAAGTTTATGTTTCATTCTGAATCGTTCACATGACAGTAGGATATGAAATCACTTTAAGTCAATATTCAGCTAAAGGCACACCATAAACAAGTGAATAATGGGCACACGTTTCCGAGCGAATTGTTGTAAACGTCGTCATGGTTAGGTTAATTTTAGAAGGCTTTTGCTTTCCTTCCTTGCCTGCTCTAAACTGGTACCCTTCCTGTGGTGTGGGAAACAGGGGTACCAATAATCGGCAATGTAACCATATACCTACCATTGTCTATAGCAAGAATTGACTAGTTTGAAATGTATAAAATCGTCAAGTTCTTAATAGATTTTGAAAAATTTCTACCTTATAAATATATTCTTTTTGAGCTTACAGGTGGATTTGCTTATGATCCATTACTGGTATATATAGTTTACGTAATGCAGCTCACCGCCAGTTCAGACGGGACCCAGAGCGTTTTTGGTATATCGTTTGCCGTTAATACATTGTTTTACCTCATCTTTTTATTTGTTAACCCACACGTAATTTAATCTAGACTGGATGGTTATGTGTATGAAGATTTTAGTTATTCACTTTCATAACTGTGAAGGAGATAAACTGAGCTGTAGAATTTTTTCAATGATCATGAATACATAGTGAATTGTATATGGACTTTGATTGTATTATTATTGTTCAGGGCGGATACCGAGCATTTTAATATTATGATTATGATTGGATGATGGTGGTCACATATAAAAGAGCACAACAGTGAACACAAATATAAATAAACTATACCATACCTCGACTACCCCCTTGTAGGCGCTGGACATATTACAGATATATTAGACAATAAAAAATATATAATTTAATGTAAAAAATCGTTTTAAAGGGTTTACCTGCTTTTGCAGTGATTATACTGTCAGCAAATAATGATTACTTCGGATTATGACTCCTGAACACTCCTGGACGACATAATTTGTACAGTAAATTGTAAGAAACAGGACAGCATTGGTACCTGCTGTTGGCTGATCTGCCACGTCCACATCACAGCCTCCTCTAACTGGGCGCTTGTTCTCATATACGTAGACAAGAGGCATCCATTGACAAAACGACGACGTCTGATTAGTTGATTCGCTAATCAGGAAGAGGCGAGTCATGGTCAAAAGTACGCGGCGCACGAAAGATGAATTATAATTTGTTGTGGAAAATGAAAATAGGACAAGCAAAAACAGCATTTAATAATATAAAAGACCGAATGAAAAGGGACATTAACTTCAATTTGAGAAAAGGCTGCCGAAAGGCTTTATATGGCGTGGACACTCAGATACCAGCTGAACGAGGTTGGAGGCCTCTGAAATATGGTGTTATTGGCGAATGGCTAAGCTACACTTACATGAAAACAAACGAAGAAGTACTCAGATTAGAAAGCGCGTCAAGAAAAATTCTTGAAATGTAAATAAAAATAAAAATTTTATACTTTGGTCATATAAATAGGGATGAGGGCGTAATAAAAATATTAATGGGTAAAGTTGAGGGTAGGAGGGCCATGGAAGGCAGAGATTGGGATGGATGAATGAAATTAAAAACTGGGTCCCCAGAGAGATACAAAACCTAGGAAGATTGGTAAAAACAGCCCGAGAACGTTTAGAGTGGCGGACTGGTCGCCAACTATCAGATATCAGGACGAACTCTGATGGAAAACTCGCGCTGTTCCTATCGCAGTTTACAGTATATTCTCGCCTTCGTGCGCCACATTGTTTTGAGTGACTCGTGCCTGTGGTGAGCTGATCAGACGCCCACATTACATTATTAGATGCTTTAGTCTATGTACATAACGATAGTTCAGTTTTTGCCATGAATGTTGTCATCAGTTGACCATACTCATCGATTTTTTCATCAATGACTTTTGTTCAGGATCTGATATTGTGTTTTGTAGCTTCGCATGATAACCTTTAAGAAGGAGGTGTTCACTATATAAATAGGACCACTGTATTGGCAGTTAGGAATGTATTTTTGGCTATATTAACAGGGCCACTGTATATGTAGTCACAGAATCTAATTTTGCTGGATCCAGATTAACCAAGACATAAATGTTCCTTGTAAGTGAAGTCGTAAGAATGTGCGCTTAGTAATGTGTACTCGACGTTCACTTTATCACCATTTAGGAGGCAGAATTAAGGTATGGAGTTTTTTTTTTTTTTATTATCCTTCCTGTACGGTAATTCTATTTCCTAACTCCTAGTAAAACATTGTATCTAGTTAATTTACAGTCTTCAGTATAGTTATGATGGTGTTCTTCAATGTTATAGTGTGGTTTGGCTAAAGTATGAGATGGTGCACTTTTTACGTCTTCAATTGCGAGGAAGTCATCGTGTAAACCATTGTGAATCCAAGACTGCCGAGTATATTAACATCTCATAAATACATTATCATTATTGTTAACATTTCTCCCTCAGATTAACACTATATATGTGTTATACTTAGAAATCTCAGGAAAAACCTATTTCCATATCAAACCTGACAAATAGCAGTATTATTGAAACTATAGATTATTAAGAAAATATAAGGTACATAAAGTCTATATTGTAAACCCAACTTCATCGACCACAAACCATCAAACAAAGCACACGCGACACACTGTTTAGTTGGTGTTGTAACGTTTATAGCGGTGTTAGGCCGTACACCACTATATATATACTGTTACAAAAATCTTGTAAAATTATTGTTGCCAAACATTTTCTGTATAATTTACAGATTCTGTATATATTTTTACATAAATTATCTGTTGAATTAATATATTGTTGGAAGTTATTGGAAGCTCCAACAACTTGTCCCTGAATACGAATTCGCAACTTTCGATTTACAGCAAGTACTTACTTTGCTGCTTGGTGAACAGGGACCAAGGGGACTAGGAAGAGTGTCCAAACAACTTCCGCCGGCCCGGGAATCGAACCGTGGCATCTTGCTTGCGAGGTTAGAGCGGTACCACTCCACCAGCGCCCACCCCCCCTCCCGCCCCCGCCCCCATGTGATGATGATGTGCTCTTTGAAATAATGTAAACACGGACATACGACGAACGTGAAGCACAAACAACCGCCAACCGCATATTCAGTAATTACATATAGAAATAACAGCATTAACATGCAATTTTAAATGTTCTTTGCATCATGAAGTGTATATATTATGATAAAATGTCAGTTTATATTGATAATTAAACAAATTGAAACAGAAAGCGAGTGTCTGAAATATTTTACAGAACAAAAAAGTAATTCAAATTACAACGTTTTCCTGGTCGGAAATACAGAAGAAACATGTAAAAAATACTGAATTTTCTATATATTTATACTTATGACAGGTCAGCGTCCCATAACCCCTGGTAGTGTCTGTCATCTAATTTTCGTGTGTTCTCAAATGGTCCATTGATTAGTAGCGGAGTCACTTGCAGCGTTTCAGTACTGTACTCATCAGTGAGCGCTGTAGTCGTGGATGGGCTTCAGTATTTATCAACGTTTGGAACTCTTATTGTGGGCTGGGCTGGGTTCTTAATGTTATCTTCAAGAAACTCAACGTTTGGAAGACTTTCAGAATGTCTTTTATATATTCTTTTATTATCACCCAGTAACTGGGTATTTAGCAGTCATCAGGCTGGATTCTTGATGATGTAGTCGTTTTCCTGTTTCGTAGCGCGGACAGCCTTGCAGTGGGTGACCAGTGGAACCAGTATGAGCACCATGAAGGACGCGAACACCATACACGACCCCATAAACGAGTACAATACCCTGAAATCCTTCGTTAAGTCGTACAGAAAACCTGCGGAGAAAAAATAATGAAAACTTTTATTCATAGTAATTATACAGTCAAGGTGATGAATCGTCAATGAATTTAATTTTGACATCTCACTTTACCAGACTTACTAATTTTGACCCTGGCGCTTGAAACAGAGCAAGCCTACACACACACACACACACACACACACACACACACACACACACACACACACACACACACTCACTGTGTTTAGATGCTTGCATATAATATGAAGTGTTATATTTATAAAAAGAACGCATTAATCGTTCAACGTCCTCAAACATCACTAATCTAAAAGAATAATAAATTGAGACAGACAGACACAGACAGCTACTCACCATTAAACTGGGGTGATATAAAGTTCATTAGTCCATTGAAGAGTCTGACAAGACCGTAGGAGGAGGCGAAGTGGGTGGCGCCGTGGTGCTTGGCTAGGATGGGTGGCACCATCACGAACCACGACCCAACACCAAACCCGTACATTGAGAGGTTCGCCGACATCCAGCTGTAGCTCGAAATGTGTGGGATCAACAGTACCGCGGTGGCCGCCATCAACCCACTGCCGAAGGAAAAACGCTAACATTAAACAACTGGAGGAGAGCGAGTTAGCTATCGTTGAAACCTGCACCTATAAGACCAGTGGGCAAGCCTCCGCCTGACGAGGGCCTCCACAGCTCCACCTGTTAGTTTTAACTGATCTTTAAACAAAGGAATTTAATAAATCAATCTTACTGTAGTTATTTACTTATCGATAAATAATAGAATTGAACAAGCTGAAGATATATTTGAATTAAAACCATTGAGTAGCTATACAGTACGTGCTTCATGTTTAATTCTTATTAATTCCTTTATATACCTATAAGCACCATACTCCTGTTGTGCAGTAAAATAGATCAAATGTTTACCTTACAGCATAAATGTGATGCATTTTGAAGATGCCTAAATCAGACACAAATCCCATTCCCAGGCGGCCACAGAGGTCAACGATAGATGAAATAGACATAATCGTGGGGACTTGTGATGACGGAATGTCTATCGTCTCAGCGTAGGCCGGGAGGAAGAAGAGAGAGAACGGGGCTCCACATGACATAAAGAATACAGATAATGCCAGTATAACAAATAGTGGATCTTTAAAAAGAGCACAGTCAAAGAAGGTGCAACACATCATGCACCGGCTTGGACTTTTCACTTCTTTTTCTTCATCTTCTCTTAACGCTGAATAGTCGTTTGTTGCCTCTTCTTTCTCCATAACAATATCTTTACTTTGTGTAGATGGTTGGACTTGAATATCTTTATCCTCTGTCTCGGCCTCTATGACTGACGTCATTATTCTACTCTGTACGGTGCGTATCGACGTCTGCCTCGCCAGTTGGGATCTGCTGTCTGGTCCAGGAGCTACACGAGACTGTGACAGAAGGCGAGAATTCCCTCGTAGCAGGCGAACAGAAGTCACTTTCCCGTCCTCCTCGGAGGAAAGTCGTAGAACGCTAGGATGTTCTGCAAATATTGGCAGTTTTGACAAAGACAGTCTACTGGTGGTCGTGTTGAAGAGTGAAGACTTACTTCCCAGACCAACACCCGTGCGCATGGAAGAGCGGCTGCCCAAAGAAGAACGGTCGGGGGTCACGGCCCAGGAGCGGGCGTACTGGGTCAGATCCGGGATGCTATTCATCATAGAGGCGCTACGTAGGAAGGACACTTGTCGTTGCAGCTCCTCGTCCTTCGCTGAGGTCGTAGAAGAGAGGCGTCTGCGTACCACCTTCTGCCAGAGAGCTCTGGAACGAGCAAGGGGGGTGGTGGGAATAGAGCCTGTGGGATCTCTGGCAGGGTTGGGCAGGGGAGAGGCGGGGACGGTGGGGAGAAGTTTGTCCTTGGGGACAGATTGACCAGTCTCTTCTTCCTCCTCCTTCAGTTTCTGTTGCTCGAGGGCCTGAACGATGGCGTGATGGGAGATGGGACGGTACAACATGGACGCCACGCATATGTGGAGTTGCATGGCACCGAGCAGCATCAAGGTGCCTCGCAGCCCGTAGGTGACCAACAAGTAGTTGACGAGGGGTGGCATGAAGAAACCGCCCAGAGCGTTACCAGAGACACAGATGGCGGAGGCGAAAGTGCGACGCTTCTCGAAGTACAGGGAGACGATAAGGATCCCAGGCGTGGTGGTGAAGCCAGCCCCCATACCTGTACACAGACACACAAACCTCAGTAAGCACTTACAATATATTCAATGAGAAGAGAAAGTTATCACAAGCTTGCATAATATTATAGATTTCAAATAAGTTCCTGTCAGCCTACTTCTCGATCCCTTGCACTCACTCACTCACTCACTCCCATCAGTGATACTCTGTTCTCCTCCCTCATTCAACAGCCTGTGGGTGAACTTCTGCAGCACCCGTCTCTGTTTAGTGTCTGTTACATTACACCTAAGTGACCCTCGTGTACTATATCTCTATCGTGTAAGGTGACCTTTTTAGCCTTATGTACAACTTGATACTTAAGCAATACCACTGTGCTCACCTGTGACTTACGTGTTCTTGTCAGTGACCTGATATCATTACCCCTCAGTGCTCTTAGTTCTTGTGTCTATCTTTGAATATTATTCCTTTAAATTCCTGAGCAATTGACTATACCTGGCGTACCACTGGCGACTTATCATGACCCCAGCCTATCCAGTTGATATAATTTGTGTTTATATATATATACATATACATATATATATATATATATATATATATATATATATATATATATATATATATATATATATATATATATATATATATATATATATATATATATATATATTAACCTAACCTAACGTAACCTAACCCAACCTCCCCATATCTGAGAATTACCGACTAATACTTCTCTTGGTGTTTAAATTCACCGGGAACACTAATTTGTTCACGAGAGGAATTTCCAGTTAACTTCTCACTTACATATTTCACTAAGTATTCCCTGGAAGTTCTGAGTAAATAATAAACTGTTGACTTCAAGTTTTTAATATGTGGTGGATGATATATCTCATTTTTTATACTGTATTAAACATTAAAAGGAGCAAAGGGGTTAAGTCATCGTATTCAAAGGTTTAAGTCCTCATACTCAAGAGGTTAAGTCGTACTCAAGGGGTTATGTCATCGTACTCAAAGGGTTAAGTCATTGCATCAAAGGGTTAAGTTATTGTACTCAAGAGGTTAAGTCATTGTACTCAAGGGTTTAAGTCGTTTAACTCACGGGGTTAAGTCGTTGTACTCAAGGGGTTAATCCATTGCACTCAAGTGGTTAAGTCGTTGTACTCAAGGGGTTAAGTCATCATACTCAAGGGGTTAATTTATTGCACTCAAGGGGTTAAGTCATCTTACTCAAGGGGTTAATTCATTGTACTCAAGGGGTTAAGTCATTGTACTCAAGGGGTTGTTAAGTCATCGTACTCAAGGTATTAAGTCATAGTATTCAAAGTGCTACGATATCATACTCAAAGGGCTTAAGACATCATGTTCAATGGTTAAGCCATCGTACTCAAAGGGTTAAAGGGCTAACTGAAGAATACATTTAATTAGTGTTTATCATCGGTGCACAACTCTGCCTTATGTGGCCGTCTTGGGCGAGGGAAGTGGGTGACTTGCCTGGCGGGGATACCTACCACTGGGTCTGGTTCACTAAGGAGTAAGGATTTGTGGCCTTATTTAATGATTTATTCCTATAGAGCTCTCAGGCATTTTGTGGTGATATTTGTAACCGACGAATTTTAAGTTTTATCAAATTTATCAGCTTTAGTAACAAGGTTTTTGGTTGGCTGGTTGTGTGGGCGGCTGAGGAAATGTTTATCTTGCGCTTTCTGAAATCCTGCCATTGTTGTGCCGCACCCTCGATGACTACACACTGTTCACTGATGCAACTTGTGATGAATTCTTGTTCCGTTTGTTTATACATTTCACAATATAATCACCGTACTGTACTGTATGTATTAGACAATATAACACAATGGGCGAAGTATTTTGACAACCCTAACCGAGAGAACAGAAGTCGCAGTGTTTGTTTTGAAATTGGCCAGACTCATCCATGAAGCTACGTTATGGAGTGTGTGTCGTAGCGTGTACCCAATTACCTTATCGAGAGAAAATAAAGTTTAAATTTATCAATATTTTTATCCATGCCCAGGTGGTTAGTTTAAGTGACGTTAAATTAACCTGGAAAATATCAATTCCCTTCTACTCATTCAGGCATCCATGTTAATCCCTTCATTCCAGGACGCAACTTTTAATATTTTAATGGGCTAACGACAGAGGACTTTATTCAGCACAGAGACGGGGGAGGGAGGGAGGGGGAGTATACAAGGGCGTTAAATATATTGTGGTTCTGACTTCACCGGAATAATTCTTAGCCGCCTGAGACACGTGACTATGCCTGGTTATTGATGTGGCTGTTGGAGTGACAATGGGTTGGCTGGACCAGGATTTAGGCCACGTGTGTGTGTGTGGCACCAGCAACCACACCGTGCCAGCTGTGACCGGTATATAATCCCAGCACCTCTCAATGTTTGTTCTTTTGAGAGGTGCTGGGATTATATACGGGTCACAGCTGGCACGGTGTGGTTGCTGGTGCCACACACACACACGTGGCCTAAATCCTGGTCCAGCCAACCCATTGTCACTCCAACAGCCACATCAATAACCAGGCATAGTCACAGGGAGGTACTACCGCCTGGGAAGATATTGGAAGCACAATGTGTTGTCTAATGGTAGACCCTGCTGCCATATGTGACCAAGTCCCAGGTTGCTGATCTGACTTTCTGCCTCATTTACACACAATTGCAGGGTCTCAATTGTTTCTCTTACTTGGACAACACAACACACATAATATACAGTATATCGTTTCTCACTCTTGAATTATTTTTTCGTTTTTGTATTTATTTATGGTTATTATTATTATTATTATTATTATTATTATTATTATTATTATTATTATTATTATTATTATTTATATTAATTTGTTATTAATTTTATTAATTGTTTATTAATTAGCCCAGGTAGGCTAATCCCCGTAAAAAAAATGATTATTACAAGCTCGACCATTGGGCGCCGCGACATATGACTCACTGCCGCCATCTTGTCTACGATCAATGATAGATTTCTACTTAACAACTGATCTACTCCTTGCTTGAGAGAGATTGTTTATGTGCCAATAATCAAAGAGTGGATAGAGTGCTGGAAGATTAGACAAACAAGCTTATTTCACCTGAAGATTAGACACCCAAGCTTATTTTACCTGAAGATTAGACACCCAAGCTTATTTTACCTGAAGATTAGACACCCAAGCTTATTTTACCTGAAGATTAGACACCCAAGCTTATTTCACCTGAAGATTAGACACCCTAGCTCATTTCACCTGAAGATTAGACACCCCAGCTTATTTCATTAAAGATTAGACACCCTAGCTTATTTCACTTAAAGATTAGACACCCAAGCTTATTTCACCTGAAGATTAGACACCCTAGCTATTTCACCTGAAGATTAGACACCCTAGCTTATTTCACCTGAAGATTAGACGCCCTAGCTTATTTCACTTAAAGATTAGACACCCAAGCTTATTTCACCTTCTAGCATTTCACCTGAAGATTAGACACCCTAGCTTATTTCACCTGAAGATTAGACACCCTAGCTCATTTCACCTGAAGATTAGACACCCCAGCTTATTTCACTTAAAGATTAGACACCCCAGCTTAAAGATTAGACACCCTAGCTTATTTCACTTTAAGATTAGACACCCCAGCTTATTTCACTTAAAGATTAGACACCCTAGCTTATTTCATGAAGATTAGACACCCAGCTTATTTCACAAAGATTAGACACCCTAGCTTATTTCACTTAAAGATTAGACACCCTAGCTTATTTCACATTAAGATTAGACACCCTAGCTTATTTCACTTTAAGATTAGACACCCTAGCTTATTTCACTTAAAGATTAGACACCCTAGCTTATTTCACTTAAAGATTAGACACCCTAGCTTATTTCACTTAAAGATTAGACACCCTAGCTTATTTCACATTAAGATTAGACACCCTAGCTTATTTCACATTAAGATTAGACACCCTAGCTTATTTCACATTAAGATTAGACACCCTAGCTTATTTCACGTGAAGATTAGACACCCACATAATTACATAAACACATACATTACAAATCGAACCATTAACAGAAGACTCCATTTTGTATTTTACGGGATCATATTATACGTGATCTAGAAGTGGCTTACCGGTCAAGAGTCCCAAGCTGAGAATGAGTTGGTTCATGGTGGTGGAGATGGAGCCCAGTACTAACCCGAGGAAGCACATCAACCCACCCACCACCGACACCTTCCTGGATGTGAAGCGTCGACACAGCGTCCCCGTGACAGGAGCTGAGGGAGGCAAGGATCGTATGAATTATCACATGTTTGGTGTATTTATTGCTTGTCTGTAAATTCCTTGCAAAATACGAGGTTATATGTCAGAAAACGTCAGAACATATTGAAATTAATATAGAAAATAATTTACTTAGTCATAATAATAAACATTCAGCAATATGCAGGTAGGATCAATATAAATATATAGACTGACCTTATTAACAAAGGTCAAAGGTCAGTTCATGAGCCTGGCCGCATTGTTTGTAAACTTTGTGATTAACCCGACTCACACCCTCTCTCACTACATCCTCACTTGCCCTATGACCTCCTCCTACAGGTCCCCAGCCGTTGCCAACACCTCTTCCCTCCTAGTGACAGGCCTGGCACTTGACATTATTAGGGACCTGCCACACTTTGCCATAAACAGATAAATTGTACCGGGAATTTTCTCCCACACACACATCATTCTGTCACTTGATGTAACTTGCTGACAAAACCCATAACCCTTCAGGCTTTTACGCCCTTAATGCATGAGTCATAAAAGCAAGCATGAACTCCGCATGCTTCCCAGATGGGCGTTGTAAACGCTTCTGCGCTTCACCTTGCAGGTGATGTACCTTGTCTCTGAATCATTTGTTCATATCAATCAACGTCTGCTAATTGCACCAGTTGCCAACAAAACCCAAACTATGAAGAATTTTGTCGACTGACCAGTTTTTCAGAGCCCTCCAAAGTGTATAGACTCGTGGCTCACCCGCTAAGATTTACCCACAACTATTAATGCGAGAACACTAAGTCTTCTACATGACGTGACCTAAGTCACGACACAAGCAGTGTCTAAAATGACGACTACTCTAGTACTAGGTGAGTTATCTCATCCCCTACCGGAGGAATAAAATTAGAAGCGAATCTTGAAGAATCTGCAGTCGGCTTAGAGTTAAACACTTTAAGACGTCAAAAGCACACGTCGCTTGGGACTGTCCTTAATCGTTGTTGTAAACAAATTCTCTACAACACTGTAACCCACACCTTTTGTTTTGTACTCTTATTTCTCATTCCTACACTGCGGTCCCCGTGAGTGGAGGTATTTACACCTTAGTTGCTAGGTGGGGCAGGCAGGCAACAATTGGTTCTCCGATGTACTTCACCCCAGTGGTGCCAACAGTATGTCCCTTACCGGTACTCTTGCAGCTCTGCCAACATAACGTACTGTACTGTATTATTAACACTGTACTGTAGGGTTGCCATATCTGAACATTCAAAGAAGAGGACGCTCCAGAAGACATCCTGCCCACCCCCCACGGCACACACTTTGGCGCCAGGGTTGCCAGATGTACGACAAGTTTCACGGCCAAATCAGCCGATGGCTTTGTAAGCTCTGAAGCTTAACCCATATGCTGGACACGTTCAGCCTGAACAACTCAAATATGAGAACTAACAACTAAGGTAGTAACTAGAAAGATCAGTCAGCTCAGTAGGCCACGTAAATATGTGAAGAGGTGAGGTCATGACAAGGTGAGGTTACTGAGCCAGCATTTTCGTTGTGAAATTTGAAAATCTGCTAGACTTTTCTTCAAAATCCACTAGATGAGGAATTAATACGTTTTTACAAAATTCGGCCAAAATACGGCCAAATATTTTGGCCGGGACCATCCATTTTTTTCACGGCCAAGCGAAGTTTTTTGCAGCCTAATTACAGAAGTTTGGCCGTGGAAACGGCCATCTGGCAACCTGTTTGGCGCTATGTAACCTTGAAGCAGCCGTGACAATTAATTTTGCATATTTGCATAACAATATATATATATATATATATATATATATATATATATATATATATATATATATATATATATATATATATATATATATATATATATATATATATATATATATATATATATATATATATATCGGTGTACTGTATTGCATTGTGTTTTTAATGTAGGCTAATATACAACATTCATGGTAAAGAAATCTTAAAAATAATAAAAGAATTACCTTTGCTTAAGGCTGAATATCTTCATTCCCTTCGCTGCAGTCTTCTTCCCCCACTGTGTGTGTGACTTGATGTGCCCATGCACATAAAGATTATGGTTGAAAATTGCTAAAATGCCTTAAATGCAGGACAAGAAAAACAAATGCTACAGTGTAAAAAAAGCCATAAGAAAAATATAGTATACTTTCAACATTTCATTTATGGCTGTAATAGCACTAAATACAAAAACAAATTTAATAATGCGCGTGGCTGAAGAACAAGGAAAAGCAGTACATGGCACTACATGCTAGCCCAAAAATTGCTAGCAGCTAAGTTGACAACACCGTACAGGCGTACACGTGACTTATCAGCTGACGAAAACTGATCGAGATCTCTACGGTTTCCACCTCCCCCTCTCTCTCTCTCTCTCTCTCTCTCTCTCTCTCTCTCTCTCTCTCTCGTCATTACAGTTTCATGGGTTTTTTTCCATGGAAAAAATGATGGAAGCTGAAATTCCGGACTTTTAAAGAATTTTAAAAATTACTTCCGGACGGAGATTTCGAGACCTAAATGGGGGACATGTCCGGGAAAATACGGACGTATGGCAACCCTACACTAGTCTTTCATCAATATTGCGCCAAAGCTTTCCACAGTCCAAAATAATATTGTTTGAATCCTAAACAATTCACATCATGAAAATATATACGATTTTCCGAATTCAAACGAAGTGTAGACTCACAACTGCCACCTCCATATAACCAAGTTGTTTCCCCCTAACCATTATTTACACAGGTGCATTTTGAGAATTGTCAATTTCGCGTTCGATGATAATGGTGATAGAGTTAAGAGACGTTCATTATTTAGTTGTGATAGGTGATGGTGCTGTGATCGATCCACCCTCCACTAACAACCTCACCAGAGCCAGTGTTATTAGTTCCTGCGCCATGGTTATGTGGACTTTCAGGTGACATGTTTACTACTGTAGTTTCCCACGGGACGATACCATACTACAGAGTCTAGACAGTGAAAAACATAGCAGACAAAGATCCCAGAAACTGATGATACAGTACTCCTGAAAATTGGTGAGTCAGGCCAGAGTACTGTACTGTATACCAGGAAGTTCAGTGACCAAACCCCGCCACACCCACCCAGTGTGGAGCGGATATTTTTCTGGGAATTTGTCATGTTTTGGCCTTGATATACGATAAATGAAGAGTAATGTTATGGATGATGTTATAGCGTGTTAGTTTTTATGACGTAAGTATCGATTAGCGTTGATGCTACAGTAGACGTTTCAAATTAGGTGTGTGTGCGTTTGTTTGGGGGGGGGGTGATTGGTGTGTGTGTGTGTGTGTGTGGATGAGTAGGTGTGTGTGTGGATTGGTAGGTGAGTGTGTGTGTGTGACGTCTGCTGCTTGCCACCGACATTCACAGCAATGACTAATGGAAAACTAAGTGAACCGCACTGTATACGTTTATTTATATTGTCATATAAGTCAAGATATCTACCATTTAAAATTTCATTAACTGAAATTAAACCAAATGAATATGTCTTTATTATACGTGGTGTGAATAGCTGAGTAAATAAATAATAAAATATAAATAATTGTTAAGTGGCATGTAAACAGTGTCAGGAGTTACTCAAAGGAAGGAGTTTGTGTACAGCCAGGGTGTAGCCGGTAAAAGTTCTAGTGTGTCATATTGTCCCTAAATCATACTCCGGAGTTAAAAGTCTTATAGGGATCACCTGAAGATTAGCCTCCCAGACTTATTTAACTTTATTATATTTGCTAAAGCTAACCTAACACTAACCTAATCTAATGAAAACCTACCTTATCACTATCCTAATCTAACCTAACGCTAACCTAATCTAAATCCCAGGTGATTCAGGTGATTCTCTTCTGTTTGTGTATAGGACGATTGATAGGCTGGGATTACAGAAATCTACTAACTGGAAAGGAAACAATTATTATTAACCCGGAATTAGGATTGAACGCTGATTGTTGTTCCCATACAACCTTCAATATGTTTTGTTTCCTCGTCTCGCCTGATTTAACGTTTGTGAAGAAAAGAATCACTAGGAGTTTAGCATGGATTTGGCTGTGATATGCTTGCCACCATAACAAAAATAGCCTGTGGTATTTATATTATATATACTGTATATATTGCTAATATATATATAACTATATATATAAAAAAAAAAAAAAAAAAAAAAAAAATATATATATTCAACATACAGTAATCGAGCAGTTGTGTTATTAAGTAAGTTTGTGCTCCCCACTTGCTGTGACCGCCTTTGGGGTGAGTGTTAACCTGGCTGGGTATCGATTCAGTGTTTATGTCGGTACTTGGTATAGTCATGCTTCACCGACACGACAAGCCAGACATCCGGTTTTAAGCTGGGTTCTTTCCTTTGTTTGAAATGGTACCATGGTTACTACTTGACTTCCTGTTATAATCTGGTTTGGGTTGGTTCTTGTGGTGGCAGCAGCTATTACTACAACTGGTGTAAATTCCCGTGTGTGTGTGTGTGTGTCACCCATGTTTACCCCTTTAGGTTCTTCGAGGCCACGGTGTTGGTTCTCAAAATTTGTCCTCCATCAATAATTTAATCTTTCCCGTAAAGTGATGTGTAAGTAACGCTCAACTCGCCAACCACAGACGCAGCTTAGTATATAGTTCGTTTATTTTGTTTTATTGTTTTATCGTTAGAGATGGAATAGTTGTCGTACATAACTAAGGAGAAACGGGTAAAGGCATGATACATATATATGATCCAGGTACTGTATATGCTGATAACCACAAGGAAAAAGAAAACACGAAGTTCCCAAGCGCTTTCGTGTAATTCACATCTTCAGGGGTGAGTACAGACTAAGAAGAAATACAAAACACATTCGTTCTATTGCACAAAAACTTGGGTACCCTTCTGTGTTTGTTGATCGTTGTTTTAAAAGGGCTAAAAAATCCTTTCATTCCTCTCAAACCAGGCAAATTCCTACACTTTAGAATATTTTGACTCTGCCCTATCGTAATAAATTTGTCCCGTTAGTTCGGTCCCTCAAGCTACTGAATATTAATGTTGTTTTCAAGTATGACTCAACCATAACCAATATGTTAATAAGAAATAGCCCAAGTTTGAATGTAAATGGAAGTGTTTATTGTATTCCATGTAGCAAATGTAACTGTAATTATGTAGGGCAGACAGGAAAAGATCGGCTCGTAAGTCGCTTGGGTGGTCGGTCACGTCTCGGTTACACACTGTTGGCAAGTACTGGGCAGTATCTGCACCTGCTCCAGTGTTGGTCAAGTTTGGTCTTGAAAGAACTGTACTCGGTGCCGCCACAATACTTTATAGCGGATTGTTCCATGAGTTCACAATTCTCTCTCCGAAAAAGTTTGCCCTCGTAGTTTTCTTGACTTGTGGCTTCTTCAACCTTGAGCTGTGACCCCTTGTGGGGCGGGCGTCCACCAGCTCCAGGTATGTACAGTAGCTAAAACAACTATCTGTGCAGGTGTGGGTAGATATGCTCCGAAATTTTACGTGTGACTAGTGACAGCCCTCATATACCAAAATTTCTCGTACATGGTCACATATTATTTCCCACAAAGTATGCACAGATAGTTGTTTTAGCTACTGTACATTCGACTGAGTAGTGCCCTCTGAGATGTTTATACACCTCATTTTGGTCACCCCTTACCCGTCTGTAGTATAAGCTAGGCAGTTGCTCTAATTTCTCAGGGTAGCTGAGGTGCAATAGTGCAGGCACCAGTCTGGTGGTCCTCCTTAGGAAATTTCCAATCAACTGACGTCTCTAGCATATCTCGGGGACCAGACGGGGTGACAGTATACTCCAGATGGGGAAGCATCTCTCTTGAAGATCATTCCACTCTTGAAGCTCACAGAGATATTTCAGTAGCTCTTCACAGTCAGTTTGGTTCTTAATTTCCCTGAATAACTTGGCATCGTCCGCAAACATTTGTATGGAAGAGTGTATAGCTTCTGGCATGTAATTTATGAAACAAACAAACAACAACGGGCCCAATACACTGCCCTGTGGTACCCCGCTTGTGATTGGTACACATGACGCTTTCGTACCATTAATCACCACACACTGCTTTCTGTCACAAAGAAAGTATCCGATCCACGCTAGGACATTTCCCCGAATTCCGTTTAATTCTCAGCCTTTCATGGGGCACGCTGTCGAAAGCCTTGGCACAATCTAGGTATATATTGTCGATTTTGCCACCCTGTTCCAGAATTTGACTCCAAACATCCGGCACCTTGAGTAATTGTGTTAAAGAGGAGCGTCCCGGCATAAAACCGTGTTGGCAATCCTTTACAAGGTTGTTTCGTAGTAGATGTTCCATCACGGCATCTCTTATAATGCTCTCAAGTACTTTACGTACTATGCTGATCAGGCTCACCGGTCTATAGTTATTCGTGGTGTGACGATCGCCTTTCTTGAATATTGAACTCACTCACATAAGCCATTTTCCAATTACTGGGGACCTTTTGCTCATCCAGGCATTTACAGAACAGGATCTTCAGGGGCTCAGCAAGCTTGTTGCACAACTCTCTTAACACTCTGGGATGCACTATGTCAGGGCATTTTATATGCAGGACGGTTTACACCGCTAGGTTTAGAAAATGGTGGCGAGTTATGAAGAGTTGACGCAACTATTCCTGGAAATTAATCAATGTGTAGTCTTGCTCACACACAATATATGTTAGTGTTAATACCACCTTTACATATAATGTTAATATGAAATGAATCGTACGCTGATACTCTTTTAATTAAAATATGTTGTAAAACGAAAGAAAAAAAAGAAACGCAGAATAGCTAGTGATGAATGTATTGTTGCAGGTGCAGTGTTACGTTACGTTACTCACCAGGCTGTCACTGCCCGGATACAGTACAATACATTTTGTTACGGCCTCATCATTGTTATTATTGTTGTTGTTGTTGTAGTTGCAATAGTAGTAGTAGTAGTAGTTGTAGTAGTAGTAGTAGTAGTAGTAAATTCATACATAGCTAGATACATCCATACAGAGATACATTCATACATATAGATTCATTCATATATAGCTACATACATTCATACATAGATACATTCATGTGTGGGTGTGTAATAGTGTGTGTGTGTGTGTGACTTTCCAGTAACATCGCGTTGACAGTGACACACCGTACAGTGACACATCGTACAGTGACACACCGTACAGTGACACATCGTACAGTGACACATCGTACAGTGACACATCGTACAGTGACACACCGTATAGTGACACATCATACAGTGACACATCGTACAGTGACACATCGTACAGTGACACATCATACAGTGACACATCGTACAGTGACACATCGTACAGTGACACATCATACAGTGACACATCGTACAGTGACACATCGTACAGTGACACACCGTACAGTGACACATCGTACAGTGACACACCGTACAGTGACACATCGTACAGTGACACATCGTACAGTGACACATCGTACAGTGACACACCGTATAGTGACACATCATACAGTGACATCGTACAGTGACACACCGTATAGTGACATATCATACAGTGACACATCGTACAGTGACACATCGTACAGTGACACATCATACAGTGACACATCGTACAGTGACACATCGTACAGTGACACATCATACAGTGACACACCGTACAGTGACACATCATTCAGTACGCATCATACAGTGACACTGTACAGTGACACATCATACAGTGACACATCATACATAACACACCATACAGTGAAAAAATAAATAACTGGTTGCCCCTCGTGTAACGAGGATGGCCGGGCCAAGGGCCACCTAGGCGTGGATATGTGAGGTGTAGAAGCTGTCGCCAACACAACAACCACACCCTGAGTTAACGAGCTGCATGACCCAATGTCAAGGAACAGTCCAAGAAAACCGGACAACTCGTCAGCTGCACTGGCTAACCATTACCCCAGAATACGATCCGCAAATCAATTAACATCCAGGTCCCCAATTACTGCTGGGTAGACAGAGGCAATTGGCGTAGAGAAACTTGCCCATAAAGTTTCACCCTACCCGGGGATCAAACCCGGGTCCGCTCGCTTGCGAGGCAAGCATGCTCACCATTACACCACAGGTCGCAATAAGGAAACACACCGTGCATCTAGAACGTTCCCTCCCCCACCTCAAGGTCAGGTCGGGACATAGGTGCAATCAGTGACCTTGTGTGACGTAGAATGACCTAAGCGTTGGCACTATTCCCGTTTTCCTTCTGGATCGATGTTTGTTTGGTTCAGAGGCGAAGTCGTTCTGGTTTAGTTCTTATACCTGGAAGTTGGTAGAGGCGACGGTGTTACTTCAAAATGATGATGATGATGATGATAATGGTGATGATGATGATGATGACGATAATAATAATAATAATGATAATAATAATAACAATAATAATGATGATGATACTAATAATAATGATACTACCACTATTACTACTACTATTACTAATACTACTACTACTACTAATAATAATAGACGCGTTCATATCTGATAACTGACTCTGCCAGCTGCTCACAATATCAACTCGATCATTGCAAACAAAATTAAAATGTTGACAAAGTTGCTACAGTGTTTTAAAAGAGTTCTTCTAAAGGTCTATTCACATCTAAACCATCAGACGCTTTCCCTCTTATCTAAAATCTAAATTAAATCTGAACTCTAAATGGAAAATCTTAATCAAAAAGTCTAAATCTAAAATCAGGATCTGAACATAAACGAGTCTAGGAAACACCTGAAGATCAAGACTATAAGTGTATTGGGTTTAAGTTGCCACATGCACGAGTTGTTTAGCCCGAGGGGGTAGGTTTAGGCCTCAAGGTATCTTACTTGTACGCCGGCAGCCACAAGTGGTCTCTTTTCTGCCATAACCCGTAATGGTAATAAGAAGAAATAATGACTCAAGTTAACAATAATAATAATAAGTAATGATTCAGTGTTAATAATAGTAAAAATATTAATAATAATTACTATTCACGTTCATAATTAAAATAATTATAAAATTAATAGTAACAATAAATTCAATAATAAAGTGAAGGGTAGAGCCCATCGGAGCCACTGACGTTGGGGAAGAGAGTGACGTTGGGGAAGAGAGTGACGTAGGGGAAGAGACTGACGTAGGGGAAGAGAGTTACGCTGGGGAAGAGTGACGTTGGGGAAGAGAGTGACGTAGGGGAAGAGACTGACGTAGGGGAAGAGAGTTACGCTGGGGAAGAGTGACGTTGGGGAAGAGAGTGACGTAGGGGAAGAGACTGACGTAGGGGAAGAGAGTTACGCTGGGGAAGAGTGACGTTGGGGAAGAGAGTGACGTAGGGGAAGAGAGTTACGCTGGGGAAGAGTGACGTTGGGGAAGAGAGTGACGTAGGGGAAGAGAGTTACGTTGGGGAAGGCATTAACTAACCTGTAATGAGGCCGACGGTGGAGAGGAGGGAAGGGACCCAGGAGGTGTGGTAGGCGGAGGCTTCCGGGAAGGCACTACGGATCTCCACATACAGGACGCCGTAGCTCTTCATGAAGCCGACGATCCACATGTTGATGAAGCAGGCCGAGAACGCCACCACCCAGCCGTAGCCGCCGTCAGGAGGGGTGAACTCCATCACCTTCCCTGCTGTCCCGTACTTCTCGCCGTCGACAGGCACAATGCGGGTACCTATCACTGACTCTCGACGACTCGACGACGTCTTGTCTTCGCGGGGAGAGAACCCGTCGTCCCCACCAATGTAGAAGGAGGCGACTTTTTCAGTAAACGACTCGCCGGGTTCGTCCGAGGCGCCTGATAGTAGAGAGAGACTCTCAGCTGTTTCCGCCGTTTCCAGGACGGGTTGTAGGCGAGCGACGGACAAGATACGGTCGCTGGTGGGCACGATGCTGCTGAGGTCAGCCACCGTGTGTCTCTCCGTCACGTCTTCTGTGTTGGCGGTGACGCTCATGCCCATGCCCAGGGCTACGTTGAGGGCGGCCACCTCGTTTTCACTGAGGGCCACTTCCTCGTCAGACCAGCCCTCTGTGGACATAGCAGGACTACTGGCCACCTTCTCCATGGTCATAATCATTTGTAGAGACGGATTCACTGCGTTCCTCTGATGGGCTCACAATAGTTCAGATGCACGTATTTTAACAATCAGGTGTTCCTTCTATAAAATATTGTAGTTTATGCCACAAGCCTATGTCTTATATTTATAACATGAAGCTGATAAAACAATACTTTGGGTTCTACAGAACTTTACCGTCTCCTCCAGGAACCTCTTCCTTAGTTTCTGTTACAGGTGTCTGGGCCGGGTAGTTATATTAAAAATATATAAATCAAATTTGTCTGACACAGCCTAATTTATTCCAGGTGGTGTTCAGTGTGGCCAGGGAGGGTCGTGTGTATCGTGTCATTAATTAAGGTAAGTATTCAGATATTAAAAGTTATGTGAGTACAAAACTGGAGCTATCTTAGTATAATCTGACTTGTATTACACATAACTGGCATTCTCCTGTGAAAGCAACTCTCACCACGACTGCGAAATATATAAGTTAGTACAGACATTCATCTTAGACACGGCAACACAGTAACACCGAAAAATATCCATGTATACACTACAGGGGTGATGACGTGACAGTAACGAGCGATGGAGCACAATCCGTGTTCCGTTTCCATTCCTCAGGCAGCGACGATAATTACTTTAGACACTCACGAGGGCGGTGTGCTTTCTGCTGTCCCTGCATGTAAATATCATTATTACCTGTGTCTAGTAATGATACAGTCGTGACCCTCACCAATGTGGTGACGCAATCGTCGTAGCTGGTGTGATGCAACACAGCCAAGCGCCGAGAGAGCCTGGTGAAACCGTGTTCCCTTCTCGGACGACACCCGCCCACTGATTCATGTTCTCCCACTCCTCCTGGTATATTGCAGCCGGTGACCGTGCGCTCGCCTGCGCACTGGCTACCTAACTTACCATCATGGTGCTCTGGTGTCAATCAGCATGTTTCTTGGTCGTCTGACCTTGACAAGATTTTGAAGAAAATTGCATAA